AATAAATTTATATATTTTGTAATTAATTTAATATAATATTAAATTATAATTTTTGCTCAAATACTAGAAGTTTTTATCAACAAATTATTTTTTAATATTTTTATAAAACTTTTTTTTACACGATACATTTTGGCCAAATAAGATACATATACGTATTTTTGTTTTTTTCTAAGATATTCATATCTATATTGAAGATAATTTTTTAATAAACATTTTGCCCTTTTTATTCACATTAGTTGACCCAGTCCTTAATACGTGTCCATAACATCGTAGTCTACTTACTCTCCTTTATCTTTACGGCATATAAATTGTATAAAATTTGAAGAAGTATTTTTTTTCAAAAAATATTTAAAAGAAAAGTTATTGAAATGACTAAAAATCTTTGTAAATATTTTTTGAATAAGGAGGTCCCGTTACTAAATGAACATATGGTAGTATCGAAATACATCTTTTTACCAAAAAATAATATAAATTAAGAGTAGATTAACATCATTTTGATAGAAAGTAAGTACCAGTGTTGTTAAACGCTACTTTTAAAAGTAGCGCAATATCGCTACCGCTATTTTATAAAAAAAGTAGCGCGCTATCGCTACCGCTATCGTTTTCAAATGAGTAGCGCGCTATTAGCTACTTTTTACGCTACTTTGATTTTTTTTAAAATATTTTTTTTTTACGTAACTTTATTTCCACAAATAAAATATTGATATAAAAACATGACTATAATTTGTTACATATATATATATAATTTATTTATTATTGCACTTTAATAATAATAACATTTCGGTACTGTCATCCCCAAGTCTAGAGCGACGATCAGAAAGTATAAGCTTTGCCATACTAAATAATCGTTCAGCACTAGCACTTGGGGGCAACGCAGTATTAAATTTAATAAACAAACTTTTTATATAAAAAAAATCATCAAAAATATTTAAATTAGTATTTTTAGATTTAAAAAAAACATCTAGAGGTTCAATAATATTATTATTATTTATTTCAAAAAAATCGTCTATGGAAGGCTGCGGTTTCGATCTTGCTATAATACCGTGATTAGGCATGCCATTTTTTAACGTTACCATCAGCCTATCAAGTTGCCATTTAGATTCAGTCAAATTAATGTATGGCCAATTTAATTGAAACTAGGATGATCTTGGTCCGTGGAGAAAAAGTGTTTATCATCTTTATAAAAGAATCATTATCCACCAAGGATAATGGTTGAACTGTATCTATTATAAAGTTCATAATGACTTTGTCAGCCAATTTTTGGGATACGCCAGGTGTTGATGAATCCAAATTGGTTAATTTTGTTTGTATTAAATTTGATTTGGAAGTGGGTTTATCTTCTTCCATTACCCCAAAACTTTTGAGATATTTTTCAATCTATATAATTTGAAGTGTGCACAGTCTAAAATTATAAAATACTTAGAATAAAAATTATGTAGGAGATAAGTATACATAAAAATGATTGAAATAACTATTTTAAAATGTTTTAAATAATTTAGATAAAATTTATGAATATATAAAAAAAATGATTGGTTCTTGATTTTAATTTATTTTAAAAATTAAAGATTAGCCTACACATTGATATTAAATTTGTTTAATATATTACCTTTAAATGTTTTTTCAAAAGCTGCTCGTATGATTTGAGAGATAATTTTGCGGCACATCTTGCACCGAAACCGATATCCAGTATTAATTTTTTCTTCAAGGTTAAAGTATTTCTTGAATTTTGGGAAAGGATCATCTATATTTTGCTCATTTTCCAAAGAAATTTCAATATCTTCAACAATCTCACACATAATAAGATTTATAATGCTTAATATAAAATGTAAAATGAAATATAAAATAAGATAAAAGCAAGGACATACCAATAACGGAATTTCAAAAATATATAATTTAATGAATGCGCGAAATATAAATTAAATACAGATTGCTATTTAACAACTGTTTATATCTAATATATAACAATAATGTATATTTTTAAATATAAATTTAAATTTCAAAATTAAATTAAATAAAATAAAAGGATTATAATTTTAGATTTTATAAAAAATATATTTTAATAATTTTTAGATGTATTTATTATGTAAGCTACTTCGCTTAAATTAGTAGCGAGCTACCGCTATCGCTATTTATAGCGCTTGTAGCGCGCTATTTTAACAACACTGGTAAGTACCATTTCTAACTTTTTAGCTATGTTACAGATTACGATAAGATTAATTGTAATAAAGATAACAATAATAAAAGATTATAAACCAATTAATAAAGTATAAAAAATGATTTGTTAACTATATCTAATACTAGAAAATGTTCACAAATGTTATATGTCAGTATATTGTACATTTGGGAAAAATGCATTTCTAATAATATCCACAGACGGACATTTTTTAAGAGAATGCGCTCTCCTTACAATAGTTACTGCAGTGAGATCATTTTATAAGTTGTAGCATATTAAAAGTTATATCAATAAATTGACAAAAGATTAAATGATTTATCACTCACTCCCTAATAAGTAGAACATTTTGTTTAGTTAAAAAAATGATAAAGTGAAAAATGCCATCGACGCATTAGGAATCTTATAAAATTACTAAAGTTTAACAAAATATTCGTTTTGACGATGACATGGCGTGACTACTTTAAATCTACGTTTTTCGGGTGAAAAAGTAACTTATATACCAATTGGTTTTGGTATAGTAGATAAAAAATGTAAAATTTTCTTAAATATAGAAATACAGAAAGACTGTAAATTTAGAAATCTATATTATTAATGATATATATGTAGCCAGGATTTCCCCAAGTGAATGGTTTTTTTTAAAATTGAATTTATATAAATTATTTTTTAAAATTATCTTATAATTTGCGTTATTTTTTACGTTACTCGTTGCTTTATATTTTAATGTTATTTCTATTGCCCAGTTAGGTTCAATATTTATATAAAAAAATTGTATCAATAATAAAACAAATATAAAACCTAGTTAAGGCCAAATGAAGGAAAAAAACAGTATTTGGTTTCTTGTTGAAGAAAGATATGCAAAAATAAGACATCTATGGAGGAAATTGGCACCAAGACTCATTCCCAAGATAAGAAAATAAGTATTTTCTAATGACTCTAAAATGAATTGTAAAGCCTTAAACGATTTCCAAACAGAGCCTTGGTTCCAAATATGATATACTCCTTCCATCCCGATGCTTATTGAAAAGAGGGTTTGAAAATGATTATGATTAAAAATTAATATATTTTATAATAAACTAATTATATTTTATAATAAACTAATTATATTTTATATATAATATCACTATAGTAATAATTTTGCTTAATTATTTATTTATTTATGAGTGTGTGTAATAAATTAGTAAATGATACAAATGGAAAACTATTTATGCAATTTTTTTTGCATACTAACGGTTTCGGTACCCTAAAAAAAGTAAGGTAAAATGGCTTAACGTAAATCCAAATACGTTAATATTTCAAAAGAATAACGTGAAATATAATAAATTTACTTTTTTTTGAGTAACATCAACCTCTTTAAATTTAATTTGTTTAAAATACTGCTCTCCCCCATTTCATAGCTTTTTATTAGAAGGATTTAGGTCTGTTGTCTGTTTTCACAAGCCTTTGGCTAGGTTGCATTTAAAAAATATATTTTGGTTTTAAGTTAATATTTTTTATTGTCTATAATAGTATATTTCATTCATTTTTTTTAGGGGAGAGTCGATGGGTAGAGTGTAGGGTAGATAATTTTATGAGTTTAAAATGTTATTTACGAATAACTATAATATAATATTTTTTTATAGCGAAATAAATTAAGAATTGTGATTAAAGGAAGTTATAAATAATTAAAAATAAGTTTTAACATTATAAAGGCAAAATGAATTATTGTCAGAGTATATTTATAATTAGGTAAGGTCATAGATTGAGTCCTATAGTGCTTAGTCCGAGACTCCCATAGTCTCGCTTTGTCTTTTAGTTCAGTACGAACCAGTGGCTTCACTGGCTCTGACCATTTAGGGTCGCCTTAAAGCTTCCTTTTTTTTTAATTTAGGGTTAAAAATTAAAAATAAATTTAGGCGCTTAATTTTAAAAAATTTAGGGTTGCTGAATAATTCTTCCCTTCTGACCAATAGTGCCGGCTGAAACTCGCCCTAAATAATTTTATATAAGGATCTAAACCGTAAAGAATATCGTTTAGGTTAGGTTCATAAAAAATATTAATATCTGAAAAGTTTGGTTTAGGCACGGATGACAAAATTTTAACGACTGTTATTTGGTTCAGTAAATAATACCGGCTTGGCCAAGGTTCGGCTTTGTCTGATTTTATTTGAATAAATATTAAATTTATATTAATACTTTTATATGTTTTAATGAAATATAAATTATAAAAGCATGCCTAATATTTTTTAAAAAAATTGATTATATTATTTTTGTCTGAGACCGTTGGCCCCCCTTTTCGGTATCCAGTCTTAAACTGGGTAGTAAACTTCACTGATAGTTATAGGGATGTAAGGATTAGAGATTCTGGCCGGAACCAATATTTTTTTTAAAAAATCAAGCCTGGTCGGGTCTGACTTTGGAAATTTTTTAAATTATATCTAACTTTATTCATTTTTATTGAATTTTTCATGTAAAATAAAAATATTTGATTTTATCTTAGAAGCTAGACGCCATATAACACACATCTTTTATTTTAAAGTATTTATAAAAATTAATTCCAATATTTAAATTAATTCGGGCCGGGCTGATAAATTTTTTAAAAAAAAATTTGGGTTTGGGCCGGGCTTGGTTTAAAAAATTAGGCCCAATGCACATCACTAGTAAGGATTAATATACATTCCTAATATCCTCAAAAAATCTTAATACTAATTCTCATATTTACAGTAGATAATTAATTATGTAAAAAAAGACATAATCATAAAGCTTGTCTCGTCTTTATAAAATCAAATTAAATACCAAACATTAGAGATACATAATAAGGACTATTTTAAATCTAATTTTTTTTAATTACCTCAAATGTTGAAGTTAGTTTGTAGTGGTAAAATACTGGTAAGTAAAAGTAATTTGACGCCAAAATAACCGTGATAAAAGTGGTACAAATCTGCCAATATTCCCATCCAAAAGTATATGATTCAGCTGCCAAACCTAAAAGACTAACTCCCGACATGAAGCTGGCAAATATTGAGCAAGCAACTGGTATTGGATGCATTTTCCTATTCCCTAAAAATATTTCACGAGTCGTGCTTTGTTTTCCTCCAGTTATAGCAAAATAGAGGCCCACTACAGCAGAAATTACCAGGGTTGAACTTAAAACTAAGTAATCCCACATTGAAAAAGAATGTTTTGACATGGTTTCTATTTTTTAGCTATAATAAAAAAATATTGGATATCATCATTATAAAAAATTTAATATTTTTTTAGGCAATTAAGATATTTTATTTTAGTTGATAAATTTAATTAATCTATTAGGATTTAAAAATTAAAGAGAGTTAAATGGGAGATTTCCAAACTTTGCATATATTATAACATTAATTCTAATATGCTGTATATACTATATTTAAGGATGTAAGATAAATATTAAACTGATGTTAAAAAAATTGTGAAGGATCTTGAATTATGTATAAATTTGAAAAACTCAAGGCTATAATAATATTTTTTGTTTGGAAAGAAAGTGAATTAAAAATATGTTTCTAAAATTAAGTAGAAAATATTATTATTATATAAATAAAAATTATATATTATACAATATATTATTTTATATTTAATTTAGGTTGACAAGCGGTATTGGCATATTTTAGTTCTTAAATATTATTTAGACTTAAAAAATAATTATTAAAGGTTGTATTGTAAATGCATTTTTAATCCTAATAAATTTAATATTATACTAAAATAAAAATTATACTAAAAATAAATTTAATGAAGATACCTAATAAAAATTTTTTTTTACCTTTAACAGACCTAATTATATAAGAATAGTAATTAAATTATTTTTAGAACATGCATTTTCTAAATTAAAAAGTTTATTACATAATGAGAGAATTATTTAACTTAAAAAATATTTATTTATACAAAAAGTTATTAAACGAATATCGAGGAGAGCTATTAGGGTTTTGATCAATTATGTTTTGGTTCTCTGTATTTCAGTCCTATATATAGCCTATTATATTATACAAGTAAAATAAACTAAAGCCATGCATTGTTAATTAAGCCCGCTTGAAAATGTTTTTAAAAATCGACAGATCTGGCCTTAATCAGGATGCAATCACGATTTATTTAATCAATAAAAGAAGAAAAAATATAATATTATAAGAGTTTAATATAATAATAGATTAATAAAATCAAATATATAAATAATCTAAATCTTTACCAAGGTTCGCAGCCTGACCGAGTTCTACTTTACCTTCATCCCGGCCTGGTCCAATAATAATTCAAAAAAAATGTCCCGCCTGATAAAATACCTATATCAGTTTAATCCCCATTGTTTCCGGCACACTTGGTGCCTTCGAGTCCTAGATTTCTTCAAAAGACTCGTCCAAAATTTGCATTTAATTTCGGGTTATTAGGAAGTTTTTTACAACCCTACTACATAGTCTTAGCTATATAGATCCCACATATCAATGACGCTGAGAACTATTGTTTAATAAAATTTAAACTATTTTATTATAAAATGGATATATATTAACTAAGTAAGCTGACCAAGTTCCCTTCAATCTTGAAATTTCAATGAATCAATTTGTATTTAACCCTCGCATTAAAGAACCATAAATTATCAATCAACTAGAATTGAAATATTCTAATGAATAAATATATTTTATTTTATCCTTATTTTTTTTTTCATTTATGAGTCCTAATTTCATTCGTAGGTAATAAAATACCTTATCTGCCCAAATAATAAAATGCATATTATGTGCTCGTCTATTCTATTCTATGAAAATAAAATAGTAATAAAGAAAAGTAAAAAAAATCTCAATCTTGTGAGACAATAGATTTTATAACCCAATCGTAAAGGGGTAAAATGAATTGAAGAAATAAACAATAACATAATATAAATATTAATTAACAATATAATTTTCATTCGAAAAGATAGACACCTGATTAAATAAAGGAGAAAAAACTGATGTTTTTCTTTGGTAAAACCCAAGAAAAATATTTTTTAAATCTATTTAATTGCTAACTGAAATTAATAACAAGAAAAAAAATCATTTTAATTCCTTTTTTGAATTTTGTAAAAATAAATAATATCTTCAATTATTTTCATATTTTATCTTCGAATAAATTTTACATATATTTAGCTATGTTACGACGTCAAACTAATAATTTCATAATATTGCTTGTTTACCTTTCATTTTTCCCCACGTTCACATCATTCTTATACACGTGTAAGTCTAAGTCATATATTTAGAGAGTGATAATTATAACTTAATTTAAAAAACAAAACACTTTAAATCGTGTTGACCAATAAGAAATATGGCTAATTTAAGAATTATATACCATATGAGGTATAAAGTTTTCAGTCGACCGATATTTGAGTGAATCTCCAAATTTATTTTTTATGTAACAAAATTATTATTTCAGATCATTTTACCTGCCCCGGATTCAAATGTGATCAAAAATGCTTAGATTATAGTTCAATATGTGATGGAATAGTAGAATGCGATGATGGTAGCGATGAAAGTGAGGCATGGTGTAAGAAAGAGGTTTGAAAAATTGATTAAGTATTTTTTAGAGATGCACTGATTCCTAATTAAGAACATTTTTATTTCATTTTGCTACATTGTTTATAACCAAACTCAATAAACAAATGGGAGGATTAAAGTAGACCCTCCCGAAGATCCCGAAAAAAATTTAAACCTTATATTTCATTTTTTTTTAAATTTCAATATCAATAATATTTTTACAAGTTAATAAGTTATATCTTATTTGTTATAAAATTTTATAAATATAAAATATACTGAACATAAAGATCAAACTCAAAAAAATATTAAGGACGTATTCTGGTTCGGCTTATTTCTAAACAGCTTTTAAACAATTACACCCTATTATGGTTTGTTTTAAGTGTTTGGCGGCATTGTTGAGTAATAAATCAAAGACAGACCTAAGTATTTATTTTATTTAATAGGAAGTTTATATAATTAGTGTGAGGACGGAGAGATATGGGGTATCATTTTATGAGCTCGATATTTGAAAAAATTTAATCTAGAACAATAGAAATATGAGACACTAACTGTTGTTGGATATTAGGTAGTGGTGTGAGGTAAAATTAGATAGAATCTATCCGTTAATGAATGTTTTATCTATCAATGGAGAATATGAAACTGGTATAGTTATCCCGGACTATATTAATTGCCACTCTTTGTCAAAAGTAAATATTTAAAAAAATTAATAAGCATGCTTTGAAAAGTTAGAAAAAATTAATTCTAATTTAAAATTAGTTTGTGAATTATTCAGGCGTGATAAAAATTTGCGTGAGTGGGTGGGTCAGGCTAAAAAGATTTGAGCATCGGGCATAAATGCTTTAAAAATATTTATAGCCAGCTTGAGTGAGTGGACGGGTCGTGAATAAAAAAGTAGGCACACTCCCACTTTTATCTATGGGGCGACAATAAAACATATTTATCCATATTTCATTGTCCACATTTTGTGGTGCTCCTTGGACACAGTATTCTGGGCATAAAAATAGAAATATTAAAATTTACTTTATATGAAGTCTTTTTTTTGTCATTACATTTAGTTATATTTCTATAAATTTTAGATAAAAAAAAATTCGAAAATTAAAGGAGATCGTGGATTCTCTTTTAAAATTTTACAAAAATTGCTGTGTTCCGAGGCAACTATTAGTTTCTTCGGATCTCAATGAAGTTTTTATTTGCTTTTAAAAATTTATTGTTTTTTCCCCTTAGATTAGTTCCAAACAGATCGTTTTTTTAAAGCGGTCTTTGAGGCTTCTAGTAATTCATTTTTATTTCCAAACAAAGGATAATAATTTGTTGAATTAATTTTTTTTATATAATATAGTATTTTTTTAAAAAAAACAATCGGTATCTCCATCACAGTGGCCATTTAATCGGTAAGAGAAAACGTTTGTTTGGAAATAAATAAAAAATTATTGAAAAACATGCCTCAAAAAATGAGTTGAAAAAAAGTTTTGCTTGGAAGTGGCCTTATATGATTTTTACAATTTAAATTGTTTTTTTTATTTGTCTTAAATAGTATTAAAATCAAAATATAAATAATGAGGTCGAACCGATTTTTATAAAATTGGCTACTGGTTTTTTGATAATATTAAAAATAATATATGATTAGATAACTAAAACTATATTCTATAAAGGTGCCTTATACGAACCACTTTATGGGGCTTCCTAAACTATTAATTTTTTTAGGTCATAATAAATTGATGCATTTTTATTTATTAATAATGATACGTATAGAATAATTTTATTGTTCAAAATATCATAATAATTATAAATTGAAGCTAATTATATATAAAAATTGAAACTTCATTTTGGTTAATTTAATAAACATTTTGGACATAAAAAAATAAGGATCCTTAAGGAGAGATTATGATTTCTTAGCATAAATCCTAAATACCAATCATAAAACACATGAAATTGCCTTTTCAAGATTTTGAAATTTTTTCATTTTTAACTGCCATAATTGACATGTATGGTTTAGGAAGCCCCGATAGCTCTAAATTGACAAATTATTATTGAAATAATATCTAGATATAATAAATACTCATAAAACTTTCTCAAATTATAGAAGAGTTTAAACTTTGCTATAAAATTTAATTTACTTAAAAATGATTATATATTTGAATTAAAATTAAAATTCTGTCATGTAAAAATCTTTTGAAAATTTCATCAAAATTTGATTTCTTAAATATAAATTTTAATTATTAAATATTTCAAAAGATTTTTTGTCTATAGATGTAAACTAATAAAAACAATATTAGGATAAAATTTTAACCTTCTGGAATATTTAATTTTAAAATGAGATTAAATGGTTTGCCACGCCCCGGGGTTTATCTAACCTCAGTCCAGAGTTGTTAAACGCTATTTTTAAAAGTAGCGCGCTACCGCTATAGCTATTAGTCAAAAAAGTAGCGCGCTACCACTTTCGCTATTTGTCAAAAAAAGTAGCACTTTTAAGCTACCTTTTATAAAAAAAAATTTAGAAAAAAATGAAACAAATTTTTTTTATTATTTTTTTGCTTATAATGTAAATGTATAATAAATAATATATAAAAATCAACATTTATAAATATAAAAATATAGTTAGTTTAGATTTTAAAAAAATAAGCAATATAAATAAATATTTATTTTAATTTGTTGCATTTTAATAATAATATCATTTCAATATTATCATGCCCAAGTCTAGAGCGACGATCAGAAAGTATAAGCTTTGCTTTACTAAATAATCTCTCGACACTAGCACTTGAGGGCAAGGGGGTATTTAATTTTATATATAAATTATTAATATATGAAAAATTATCAAAAATATTCATTTCAATATTTTTTGATTGAAAAAAAAGATCAATTGGATTTTCTATTAAATCATCTTTAATTTCAAAAAAATTATTTGAGGATGTCTTCATGGTAGATACTCGGCAATCTATGTTTGTTGGAGTAAGATTATTCAGCTTCGCCATTAGCCTATCGCAACCAAGGACAATGGCTGAACTGTGTCAATAATAAAATCAACAATTACTTTATCAGCCAATTTTTGTGAAATATTGGCATGTTTATTATCAGTTAATTTGGTTTGGATAGTATTTGTCTTTTTGAATGAAGATTCTCCTATACCAAAATTTTTTATATGTTTCTCTATTTCCTTATAGCAAGTCTAATAAAATAAATAATATTATAATGTAAAAATAACAATTTACCTTTAGGTGTTTCTTCAGGTTATAGCTACTCGATTGATTTGATGATATATTTTTTTTACATTTTAAGCACAGGAATTTGAATCCAGTTTTTGTTTTATTATTAATTTAAAAAAATTTTCAAATCTAGGGAATGGGAAATCGATATTAGAGCTATTAAGTACATTTTCTTCCATTGAATCTTCCATGTCTGAATCACTTTCAAGGATTTGGATATCCATGGGCAATGCCATTTTAGATTATTAACACAGATTGAAAATATAAATTAAAAATTGAAAATATATTTAAATTTCAAAATTAAATAATAAATTATAAAAATTATAATTAATTATGATATTATATTTAAATTTTCATGTTTATACTTACATTCATTATATTTTTTAAAAGTAGCGAGCGCGCTAAAAAATTAAATAATTAAAAAAAAGTAGCGGCTATTAGCTATAGCTACCAAAAAAGATAGCGCGATAAGTAGCGCGCTACTTTAACAACTCTGCCTCAGTCACTTCTCTTGTAAAATATTATTTAATTTTTTTCTTAAACTGTTCGAAAAATTTATGGGAAGGATTCCTGAAACATAAATCACAGAATTTCATGTCAATTATTTAGCATATCTATTTTTCACTTAGCTCAAACAATTAACATATATTTCATATTTTTTATATCTCTCTATTATTATTGTTAATCACGTAATTCCTTTATTGCAATTAAGTGAAAAAGCTATGAGGAATCTTTGCGAACAACGGGTTTAATGACCCATTGTGCGGAAGGAATTTGAGTATATACAATTAAATTATTCAATGTAATAACCATATTTGTAATTATATTTTAATACAATGCTATAGTTATCACAATTATAAATGAAATAAAAATAATATTTCTACTAATAATATATGTATGTTCTAATATAAAAGACCAGATAAATTTTTTTATAAATAGTATTTTGAATCTAAGCTACTCTTCCTTCGTATTTAGAAAAAGATACAAATATTTTATGCCTTTTGATATCTGTATCTTAGGTATATTTTAAATAGTCCATATCTAGTAGATACCTTTTTAAAGGTCTGCCCAACTCTACTAGTTATTTTCATTGTAATGATATTTTTATTATATTGTCTATTAGTTATATTAAAATTGCTCCATTCAAAATACTTTAGACACCCTTAATTCTAATAAGCTACCATTTCAAAATCAAATATTATATTTGGTAGGTTATATTTATCTTTAGAAATTGCTTGTAAATTAAATATTGAAATTAAATTTATTATTCTTTACAAATATTTCAAAAGTCGAGTTAAATAATATAATTTGTTTAAAACGAATACTGAAGTATTTGCCTACAAGGTTTAACATCTATCTATACATATGGTTATTCGGAAATATTTATAACTTATAGAGATGTTAACTTTATTGATAAATAAAAATCAATGTATTTACGATGGTTTTAATTTTTAAAATGAGTATGTATGTTGAATTTCAATTCTAAAGGCTAGAAATTTATATTATTGCTGTCAATTTTCATAAAAAGATCAAGGATAGAAAAAGAAGCAGGGGCTCTCAACCGACGATTTGGTATCGCCGAAACATAGATTACCCAAACCGGGACAACTAATTATGTCGTTTTGAATTTTTATATTATAATCTTGATACTAATTTATTAAATGCATTTTATATGTAATTTTCTTTAATTAGTCAAATCAAAATCACTAACGTTTTTTAATCCCATTTTATTTTGTCGAGGTGTTCTTTCCCTAACGTATTCTTATTTGTATTTATATAAATATTTAAAAAATATATTCTTATTATTCATTCATCTATTGGATTATAAGATTTTTTTATAAACAAAATTTATTAGAGTTGTACTGATATTTTTTAGTGCATCGGACCGATTTTTCGTCTCTTTGAAATATCGGTTATCGTCCGATATTACTATAAAATGGCATCTAAATAATATTATTTTAATTAATTAATATTTAAGAAAATATATTTATATGTAAGTTTAAAATGTTGTTATATAATTTAAATAATATTTTTTAAAACACTAAATAACTATAAAAATATAATAAAATATATAATTTAAAAAAAATTCTAACAATTTACATTGATTATGTATAGACTAGATGGGATTCTTAACTTTCTACACAGATTTTGAAACAAAAAAAATATTTTAAATGACTTATGTTATGCTATATTAAACGTAGATGCATACAATGAAATTAAAATATATTAAATGTGCGTAACGAAAAAGATCATATTAGTGATATCGGATATGTAATCGGCCGATATCAATTTAATATAGAAAATATTGGATCGGCCTATAAAATGTTGTATCGAAACCTATCATGCTAATATATTTATAATTTATTTATTAATTTACTATAATAATTTCGTTCACGAATTGAATTCTCTATCCAAATACAATTAAATTTAAAAAGAATATATATATACTATACCTTTTATATTAAAATCGCACAATATGTCTGGCATATTTAAACTCAATAATAACGATTATATTATATAATAATATATAGTGTATATTTATAAACAAAAATTAAATGATCATAACTCGTTTCACATATTGCCAACTAATACAAATATTATCGCGGTTTATATAAATAAAATATTCAAATTCAAAAATTATTCGATTTTTTTGGGCTGAGCCGCGGAATCAGGAGCTTTTTGTTGTTCTTCCAACTTATCTTCTTTCTTAAGCATTTTGACTATGTCCATAATTTGTTTCTTGTCGAGGTTAACGTCTTCTCGAGCTATCATCTCGATCGCCTGAAATTAAAAACACATTTTAAACCCGTTAAGAAAGGTTTTATCACATTAAACGCTCATTATTAAAAAAAAGAAGTTAACAAAAATCAGCCCAATTTACCGAGTTTTATATTTTCAGGCCCGGTGGGTACCCGTGACTTAAACTAGTCCGACAAAACAAAAATAAGAATCTTTAAAAAGAATCAATAGATTAATGTAATATATAGTCAGTTAATTTTTAAAAATGATTCATTTCAACCTCTAAAACATGTTCCATGTTAACGTTCCCATCTTTATCTTCATCAAACATGGCGGCCAAATTTTTGAGCCTTGAATCATCCATATGAATTTGTCTTGATTTTTTGATAGCATTGACTAGATCGGGTATACTGATCATTTTACTGTAAGGCATAAAAATGTATATGTATATATATATATATATATAACTACATATGGTGGTTAAATTATGACTAATAGAAAAAGGAAATATTTACGCTTTTTCATCTTTGTCCTTTTCTGAAATCATCAAATCATCTTTTAATTCGGTGGCATAAAATTTATGATCTATAGACAAAATTAAAAGAAAAATATTATGCGAATATTTTTTTACATTTAAAATTAATTAGGCATGCATTTTTAACTGATCCAAATTTCTTATATATCTATTGGCATTGTTTCCATTTCTATCCTTAGTGCCTACTAAGATCAGTATTCAGCATATTGTAAAAAATGTTATAATTATAAGTTTAAAAGTTATAAATAATTATTTTATTGTGGAAAATAAAATTATATAACAAAGATTATTTTCTTTAAAAATTAATATAGATTTTTATATTATTGTATAAATTCACAATAATTTATTTCCTAAAAAACTATATTTCATCAAATCAAATAAAGAAAAAACTAATGAATAACGAATCAAACTTTTTTCCTCGATAGTATCGATATGTTTCTTTTCAATTTCCAATTTTTCAACTATTTTATCGGCTTTGCCCAGCATCTTGTTCAAACTATTGGTAAGACGTATAGCTGATTTACTTTCTTTCAAGTCATCAGCACCTTTTATTTCTTCCACGAGTGTTTTAGCTTCTTCAATATCCTTTTACGATAGTGGATGGATGATTTTACAACAAAATACATAATGGTTTTAAAAAGAAAATAATATGCTTTTTTTCTCCCAAAATCCTACCTTCAGCCTCATCGTGGCGGGGGAGTGGCAACGTCTTTTGGCGACTAAGGTCTAAATAGTTGACTGTGATCTAGGTCTAGAATAGGATCACCGTCTCCTAGACGGGGTGTAATAACCACTTAAAGTGGTTTATGTCAGGAAGGAATGTAAAAACCTTGCTACAAAATCTCCTAATGATTACAACAAAGCATGGGCGGGGTACATCCCAAAGTACCCCGTGGGCCTCCTAAACCGCCTACGAAAAAAAGAAGGATGGAAAACCTGGTGGAACTATGACGGCATTAAAGACCTGATAATAAGTGGAGAAACCAGTTTACGAGGGATAGAGAAGGGTCGCGACATGGAATGTTGGGAGTATGACGGGAAGAGCGGGAGAAGTGGTCGATGTATTAGAAGGCATATAGATGTGTGCTGCATACAGGAAACCTGATGGAAAGGTAATGGCGCAAGAACGATTGACAAGACTAGTGAAAAGTATAAATTCTTCTGGCAAGGAAGTAATGATGATAAGGCTAGAGTTGGGGTATTGGTCGCGGAGAAATTGATGGACAAAGTAGTCTAAGTGATAAGGCTAGATAACGATAATGGTTATCATGATGATTTTTGGTAGAAAGCCATATAATATTTTCTCGGCATATGTTCCTCAGGTTGGAAGAAATGAAGAAGAGAAAGATATATTTATGGACAGTCTATTGGGGGCGACATCGAGACTGGCAAATGAATAGGAGATTATCCTGGCTGGTTATCTGAATGGGAGCGAGTAGTGAGGGTTATGAAGGAGTATATGGAGGATTTAGTGGCATGGGAAATCTGAAAGGGGAGAAAATTTCAGTGATGCTATGGTTATGATTGTAATACAATGTTTAAGAAAGAATTAGAGAAGCTGGTGACTTATAAGCCGGGTAGGATTACTTGCTATTAAGGAGATGTGATAAAAGTATAATAAAAAATGTGAAAGTGATACCGGGAGAGTAATGTATCAATCAGTATCGACTAGTTCTAGGAGGTCTCACATTTAAAGGCGCCAGGATCACTAAAAGAAAGTTTGTGCCAAGGCTGAAGGTTTGGAAATTGAAGGAGAGCGCTAAAAGTCAATTCAATATGACATTGGCAATAAGGGAGGCGGAGGTGGCACAAGCATCTGGGGTAGACAAGTGGGAAGCCTTGAAGAAAGCTGGGTGATGACACTGAGGAGGTATGTGGATGGATAAAAGGGCCGCTTAGACATAAAGAGACTTGGTGGAACCCGGAGGTAGCGAAAGCTGTAGATGAGAAACAGAGGTGCTTCAAAGAATGGTATAGTAGTAAAGAAAAAAGTGATAACGATTACAAGATGGCGAAAAGAAATGTTAAGAAATTAAATGCGAAGGCGAAGAAGAAAAAAGACAGGAGTTTGCTAACGAAATGGAATGCGTTGGAGGAATGGAAAATGTGGTTCGAATAGCAAAGCAGATGGCAAAAAAGAGGCAGGATGTGGTAGGTATTAAATGTATGAAAAATATGAAAGGAAAAATGGTGATTGATAATAGTGGTATTAAGAACACCTGGTAGACACATACATGGAAGGACTTTTGAACGAAGAAAATGAATGGGATAATGATGTTAGTTTTGCAAAGGTAGAAGGTTCAGGGTGTAAATTTGGCAAGGACGAAATAAAGAGAGCAGTGAAGAAGATGAAAAAAAGGCATCGGGTTTAACGAGGGTGGTATCAGAGATGTTTGGAGGTTCTGATGACTCAGGTATATTGAATGGTTAATGAATTTAGCCAATCAAATTATTACAGAAGGAACTATTTCCGAGGACTGGAGAAGAAGTATAATTATCTCAGTATACAAGAGGAAAGGTAATCCTTTAGATTGCGGGTCTTACAGATCTATTAAACTCTTGGAACATGGAATGAAGGTATTTGAGAGGGTGTTAGGGAAGCGGATAAGGGAACAAACTAAAATTGATGAAATGCAGTTTGGTTTTACATCGGGAAAAGGCATGACAGATGCAATCTTTGTGGTGAGACAAATACAAGAAAAGTATCTTGCGAAGGAAAAGAAACTGTATTATGCGTTTATTGATTTGGAGAAGGCATTTGACAGGGTTCCGCGCGAGATTACTAGATGGGTCTTGAGAAAATCATGTGTGGAGTAATGGTTGGTTATGGCAGTGATAGCAATGTATGTGAAGCCCAAATTGCAGTACAGACGGATGATAGAGATAGTGAGCTTTGAAATGAAGGTAGGACTTCATCAAGGATCCGTGCTGAGTCCATGATTATTTATCTTAGTAATGGATGTGTTGTAGAGAAATGTGTGGACTTCTCTGGGAGCTATTATATGCAGATGATCTTGTATTAATGGTAAACAGTGAGGAAGAATTGCGGGATATAATTAGCAAATGAAAGATGGCTATGGAAGATAAGGGTCTGAAAATGAATGCAGCAAAGTCAAAGGTGATGATTGGTGAAGAAAATCTAAAGATGGAGGAATCCGGTGACCTTGTGGTATATGTGGGAAAGGAGTTGCTAGAAATTCAATCCAATGCACCAGATGCCAGAAATGGGTACACAATAGATGTAGCGGTGTTAGCAAGAATGACCTTTATTTGTAGAACGTGCATAAAAGGGGTACATAATACTGATAACGTAGAAAATGGTGGTTTGGATAGCAATGTGTTAACTCTGGGAAAAGTGAAAAAGTTTTGTTATTTGGATGATATGCTAAACGCAGATAGATGGCGGTGTAGATTCTGCTGTTGTTGCAAGGGTCAAACAAGTATGGAAGAAGTGCAGAGATATGTCGACATTCTAACAAATAAAAAAAGTCTCTCTGAAGTTAAAGGGGAAAGTTTACGTAAGCTGTGTGAAGAGTTGTTTAGTTTATGGCGGTGAAACATGGGCAATGAAAGCGACTCACGAGGCCAAATTAGAAAGAACAGAGATGAGGATGATTAGATGGATGTGTGGGGTATCTCTGAGAGAGAAAAACTATCAAGGAATTGCAAGCAAGATTGGGTATAGAAATGATGGAGTAGTATGAGACTAAATAGACTAAGATGGTTTGGGCATATGAAACGTATGACAAAAGATGACTGGGTAAAGAGATGCACCTTGATGGAAGTAGGAGGATCAAGACCTAAAGGAAGGCCCAAAATTACGTGGACAAATGTGATAGCGGCGGATATGAGAAGCACGAATTTTACAAATATTGATGCTCAGGACCGTCAAAAATGGAAAAGAAAAATCAGAGGGAAAACTGGTTTACCTGGGTAAACCTAGAAATTGCCATAAAAAGGAGAAGAAGAATAAATAAAATTTTCCACTTATTTATAATAGATTTTGGCAAAATCAGATATAATGACTAGATATAAAATATATGAAGTGATTTTAAAAAAATAATATAGAAGATAGGCCAATATTATATGGCGGAAATATTGATCATGATCATTCTGGTGTCACGCTCATAAGATTTTAGAGCTTTAATAAATTTTAAATTCAATACCAGGTTTCATATTTTTATCTCGTATTTTAGTTATTTAAATTCAATTTTTTTTAGTCCGAGAGCTAATCCAAATTCCAACAAATTAAACGTTTTGATAAAAATATAAATAAATTATGCCAAAATGTTTTTATAACCTCCTTATATTCTTGCAAATTTTCTTTGATATCTTTAACGATCTCTTTAGCCTGTTTGATGTCCTTATCAATTTCGCGTTTATCGCTTATAGTTTCCACCGCTTTAACGATATCCTGTAATTCTTGGGGAGTAATATCTTCTTTTGATGATTTATCTTCAGCGCTAATCAATTTTGGTTCAGTGACTAAAAAACAATAAATTACTTAATAATTTTAGAATTTTTATTTTATTGCAAATTTCAAGTGTTTTATATGTTATTGCCAACATTTCAAATTATATTAGTTTCTGTAAACAGTAAAACCTCCATATGATAATATTAAAGCTCAAATCATATGTATTCGTAGTCAGTTCGCATTAGAAGTATGGGCGAATCTCTAACCCATAAGTACCATTTTTTCAAATTTTTTTCAACCAATCTGTCCATGGTTGGAAAAAAGACCACCTGCCCTCCGGAAATTTATATTTTCCTTATTTTAGGAAATATTCTGAGATGCTAAGATTAAAAGATAATTTCATATGTAAATTTTCTAATCTCATAGTGATTTTTTTCTAAAACAAATTAGCCTCTTAAGTCCAACTAGATTGAAAAATGAACCCTTTTTGTTTGAAAAAGGATATGATACTAAAAACGCTATATATAATAAAAATAATAATGTACTATATTTACATTTTTTATATTGAAACCAATATTATACTTTAATTTTAAAGACTCTAGCTAAATTAAAATAAGAATGATTTATTTTTTTTATTTATATGAGTAATAAAAATCGTAGCAAAATGATATTACATAATTTAGCGGTATCCTTTAGTGTCGGAGCCTTATCCACCATGACATCTTCCTAAAAATGATATGATTATATATAATATAGTTACCGTTGTATAAAATAGTGTTTAAAAAGGTTAAAAAAATTAAAATAACCAGCATATCCATAATTTCCAAGGATATTTGCCATCCCCCCTTCATAAATATTTCAGGCCTAAAAGTTGCAAATATTATATAATTATACTAAATTTTCCCTTGTTAGGTCATTTATTACAAAATATATTTTACTATAATTAGATGGCATAAATATTTGCTAATTAATATTCTACACTAATTATTCACGAATTTCCAATTCGAAAAAAGTGAACCTTTCATTATTAGCGTGTGAGAAAAAGATTACAAAATGAATATTGACGGAAATATGCAATTTAAAAAAATGCCCAGCCCTCCCTCGTGCCCTCTAAGAAAAAGTTCTAATTATGACTCTGAATTAGTGAAAATTGTTTCTCCATTAAAAAAAGGGAGCTATTTTTTGAAATGCTACTAAGATATTGTTTTTATTTAGTTTCATATATCAGGTTTCATGATATTTTATGAGGAAATCAACAAACCCCTAGAAATTATAATAAAATAACCTTTTTGAATTTATCCTTCATCTTCTCGGCCTTTTCTTCTTTGATAGCGGCGGCTTCTTTCTTGATAACTTCAGCCAAAGTCTTAGGGTCAACCCTTATTCCTTCTATTTCCGCGGCCCTTAAATTAGCTTGTTCTTCCTAAATTATTAAATTTCATATTCACATAAATATCATTATAAATTAAATAAGTCAATTTGGCTAAGGGTTATAAATGCAGGGAACGGTGTTTAAATGAATTGAAACTATTATAATTCACTTTTATAAATAATAAATCAGGTCTACCTCTACCAATATAAATGAAACTGTAAAAATAATATAGAATATATTACCGCTGCCTTTGGTAAACTGGCCAATGTTTTTTTCAGCATATTCGACTGTCTATCCTCTTCTTCGGCCACACTAATAGGTTTGAGCTTACCAGTAGTTCCAACGCTCTCCGTTTTAAATGGCATATCGACTAGCTCCCCCATTCTATCGACGCTGGGAGTCGATGGCGTGTCTTCTATTCCCATGAGAGTTCGAGACAAAAGCAAAAGGGACGCCGGAATATCACTATCTAAATGAAGTTGAAGCCAATTAGTGAGTTGCTGTTTAAGCCTTTGTTCCGATAGCCCCAGTGCTCTCATGCCCCTAGCCCGGCAAGCGGCTTGAAGCTCCCAAATGGTTAAGTTATCCACACCACCTTCATTACGGATCAGCTAAATGTAAAAAGAATGTAAATAAGTTTGATCTTTGAAAACTTAGCCAAGATTTTAAGCTATAAAGTCAATTAAAATGTTTGAGTTGAGACTCTAAATTAACAATTATATATGTTTTACTATATCGTCTTGCTTTAAGGATCTAAGAGCAGTGTTTAATTGAAATCGAAGTAAATAGTTATTGCCAATTGGCTTAAGCTGTAATAATTTGCACATAGCGACTAATTGATCTCTGTTTAACGTGTCTAAAGTAAATTCATCTTCAAAGAGGCGAGAAAATTTAATGATCTCATCGTTTGTGGGCGATTTGTCACCTTTCCTGACCTGTAAATAAATAAAATGATAACTTGAAATTTTAATACATCTCTATAGTTACAAGCTAATAGCTTTATAATGACTACAATCAGGACAATCAAAATAAGCTACAAAACTATTCTATACATTGATTAATGGTCTACGAGAACACACTTAATGAATAGAGGTATTAATTATCAGGTTAAATTCTAAAATTGATGTTTAAGAAATTTCACAAAATTTAGATAAACCAAGTACTATTATAAATCAAACCTTCTCCATAAATTCTAAGAAAGAATTAACATTTTCGGTGGGATGTTTTTTGTCGTCTTTGTACTGCAAAGCAGTTTCTGTGATAGTTTCCTGCAAAAATTTGGCTATTTCTAAACGTGCTTTTAACTGCTTTTGAAGTTTTTCCTTTAGATTAAAAAAAATTTCAATATAGCCATTCCAAATTAAAAACATTTAGATGGACGACAATTTTAATGAATATGGTAAAATGTATTACATTTTTTTTACTTTATGTTAAACTTGAAAAAGTATTTTATATCTATATAAAGATATATATAATACATTTTAATATCTGTATCTTAAAAATGTAAATATAACGTACAAGATACATCTTTAGTTGTTTTGTTATAATATTAAATAAATATTTTCCCTGATAAATTTTGTATTTTTTTTATAGAAAAATATATCACAACCTTCTTTAAAATTTTATCTAGATGAATTTGCCTTATATAATATGGAAAGTATAAAAGAATTAAAAACAAATTCTGAGGGTTGGTGTTTAAAAGAATAACTTTATTATCTTTTTTCAAAAATAATCAATCATTAGGTCATATTAAATTTTCTTATCGGTATAAAAAATAATCTTGGGAAATAGCATGTGTGTAAGTTAGAACATATTTTATGAATATATTAGGGATGTACCGATATTTTTATCGAATCGGGAAGATAGTTCATCTTTTAAAAAATCGGTTATCGGCCGATATTATAAAATTTTTCCATCCAATAAAATGGCGCCTAAATTTTTTAAAGATTTATTTCAACTTTCATAATATATTTGTTTATTACTTACTATGTAAATAATGTTATTGTATAAATAAGTGTGTCAATAAAAATATTTTATATACTTTTGGACTCTTGAATATAAACTATAACTGATCTTTATAATATATAATTAAATGACCTGTGTTATGGTATAGTTAAAAATTGATGTTATACTATTTAAAAGCATATACGATGAGTAAATTTATGAATTAAAATTAAAGCGATTAGTATGTTTATAGAATACAAAATCAGATAAGATATATGATGGGATTGGTAATAGGCCGATATCAATTAAATATCGGAACGGCCTCCAAAAAGTGGTATCGTTACACCCCTAGAATATATTGTATGATTATCTATAATGTATCAGACATAATTTTATAAAATCAAGTAATAATAATTTATTTTGATAATTAAGATTTTTTCAACTTAAATAATTTTTTGAATAAAAGAAAGAAAAAGGAAAAATATCCAAAATATTAATACAGAGAAAATCTTTCAATAGAAATAGAAAAGGAAAATAAAATTATTTTCTAAACGTCTATCTTTAGAGTTTTTATTAAACTCTCAATTATTTTCCAAAAAATTATATATAAAATTGATCAATGTAAAATAATCGAGCACTTTAGTATCAAAATATCATAATATGGTTTAAAAAATAATAATTTAATTATATATGAGAAGTAGAGTCAGCGTGACATTTTTATACAAGATCGGGAAAATCTTATTTTGTGCCTTGTCGCTCCAACCTATCATTTATTTATACTTTTTATTTTCCCAAATATGCCAAAAAATTTGAAAAAGGAAATTCCAACATTTAAAAAAATTTAAGGGTTTTTTTTTATTTTTTAATAGAATAAAAAAATAAATTTCATTAATATTTTCAAACTTTTCAAGAAAAAATTTAAGTAATGGACATCAAATAAGGTAAATTTTTGAATCATTTTTATAAAAACCAATAACAAACAATATAAGTTCATCATATTTAAAGATGGGACCATATGTGGCCCTTCAGCTAATGTACTAAGCACCTTAAAACACCTGGAAATCAATTCCCAAGCTATCGGCCTGGTACTCAACATAAATAAAACAGAATTATGTTTCTTAAACAATAAGCCACAAAAGTTGGAAGGCTACAAAATCATTGCTCCTGACAGCTTAACCTTAATTGGGTCCCCATTAGCTAATGCGACCAAATCGGAAGATTTTCTCAACAAGATTTTTAAAAGCTTTTACAGTATGGAGCACATTCTTAGTCTCCTACCAGCTCATCAATCTTTATTTTTAATTCGCAAATGCCTGTACATACCTAAATTTATGCATATTTTCCGATCATCACCTTTTTTCAAAAACAATGAATTCATATCTAAAATTCAGGATAAATTTAAAATATTTCTGGAAAAAATTTTAAACATAAATTTAAACTCATTCAATTGGTCACTTGCTCAGCTACCTTCTAAACTAGGAGGTTTAGATTTTTTTCCGCTCAATCTTTTATCCTTATCATCATTCGTATCATCTAGATTATCTAACAATTCTATTATTTCTGGCTTCATATGCCCTACCGATCGTTTATTAGACGACGCTATTGACAAATGGAAGACAAACACACCCATTAACACCGTATTACCATCAATCATCACACACAAAAATTTTTTCACACCTTTAATCTCTAAATACCAGACAAATATATCAGTCAATCCACCTTTAGATTGCATTCAGACAGACTTGGTGGTCATGAATGGTTAGAATCACTCCCTAGTCGCAACCTTGGTAATCTCTTATCAGATGAACAACTGAGAGTAACCATTGGTCTACGTCTAGGTTGCGATATAATACAGCCTCATGCCTGTGTCAAATGCAAATCACCCGTTGATTCAAAGGGTAGACATGGCTTAAATTGCATTTTTAGTCAAGGGCGACATCAACGCCACTCAGCTGTAAACCATATAATAAATAGAAGCTTAACAGCTGCACACATTCCTAACAATCTCGAACCATCAAATTTATCTCAAGTAGATGGTTTAAGACCTGATGGTATGACAACCATACCTTGGGCCCTCGGCAAATCACTCATATGGGACTACACGTGTGTTTCATCATTCCCTTCAAACATAAATTTCAATTGAATAACACAGGCTGAAATTAAAAAGATAAACAAATACAAAAATTTTAAAAACTTTTTATTCACTCCAGTTGTGACTTCTACTAACGGACATTTTTCGCCTTCAACATTTTTGTTTTTAAAAAATCTTGCTAATAAAATACAACTTTTCACAAATGAACCAAGAGAATTCCTTTTTATTCGACAAAAAATTCAAATAGAAATTTTTAGACACAATTATGGTTCCTTTTTGGGGACTCAATTATAGAATTTTATTTTTAATTATATAATTATAATTTATAAATTATAATATTTTAAATTAGGTGTTATGTGAAATAAATAAATATAATAATAAAAAAGACAAACATAATTTTATAATATTTTTTTGCTGGCTTTTTTATTTGCAAGATTATATATTTTTTCAATATTCAAATTGTTTATGATGTCCATTCTTACTCTAATAATACAATGGATAAATTATATCGAATTCCTATGTCATAGTTTTTTTTATTAAATTAAGCTTAGAAAAGCTTTCTTCAACATAGGCAACCTTAAAAAACCAATTGTGGGGCCCTAAATATGACAATTTTTTTTAGCATTTCAGGCAAATACCAATAACTCAAGCTGGAGCTGTTGGGGGAGTCAAATATCTTTTTACAATATAAATTTATAAGTAGAAAATTAAGTAGTCTAATTTTTCTGTTAAAAGGTAGTTTAAAATAATTTAGAGTAGAAAAGGAGATAAGTTTATAATAAGATGCTGTGAACAAACTATAATTAAAATAATCTAAGGCAATTTTTCAAAGAAAAAATGTGGTGATAAAGTAATTTTTTTAATGAATAAAATATTAAAATCTTGTCAAAATTTAGGTTAAGGAAAGCCAATAGAATATATTTTATCAAGAATAATATATTTTATAATGGAATTTAAATTTTAAAAACAATCTATAAACCTTATTAAGCAATAGATACTAATTTTTAGAATATATTTATAATGTAATAATTTTTACATCAAATTTTTGTGTTTTAAACTGTTTTCATAATTAATTGATTGAAATTATTATATAAAAAGTGATATATAATAATTACTGCTGAAGGATCTGTGTTAAAAGTGCTTGGAAGCATATTGGGAAATAATTTGATAGCAACAGGTAGTAGAAATTCCATAAAGGGCACTATAATGAACACCAAAAAGGGTATGAGTCTAAATAAATCGGAAACAGTTCTTAAAAACTGGTATATTTTATTTTTAAAAAATACAATATGGATTATGATAAAATTTATGAAATAAGTTCAATTTATTCATTAACTTTTTAAGTGTTATCTGTGAGAATTTTAACAAAGTTTAAAAATTATTGACATTAAATTATTTCTTATTAAGCTATTTTAGAGAAAATACATTTAATATTACATAAGCAGAATTTATATTTGGAATTTATTACATATTTTATATAACTTGTTTCCTTTCTCTCCTAGTCAATGTATGGCCATTTAAAACTTGCCATAAAAGGCCTGAAGACACCTTTATTTCTAAGCCCAAAAGTCTGAAGCCATGATAATAATGAAGAATTTCATGTTTAACTTTTTCCCACATTCTTTTTGACAATGACTTTTTAACCTTTAATTGTCCATCAACAACAATGCTGGACTCCTCTCTGACAGTAGATAAACCTTTAGATATTCCATATTTATCATCTTTTATTAGCTTAGTTTTATCTGGTTCTTCTTGCAATTTTTTCCTCTCTTCTTTTAAGGCTTTAATCGTAAGTTCTATTTTTGATTCTGGTTCGTGGGTGTTGACCTCATCGATATTCTTCTTATCATTGCCATTTACTATTTTTATTTTATTGGAATCAAAAGGTATGTAATTTATGTTTGAATAAGATAGAGCTCTACTTTGTAAAAATAAATTGCATTTAAATTGATTTAATTTATATGTTAATAAATTGTATTTATTTGCTTGAAAATTTGTTCTATTAATATATTTATATATTTGAAATGCGTTGTCTCTTGATTTAATACAATATTTTATGCTAAACATATCTAAGAATAAATAAATGAGATATTCGCGTTATTTATCACATATCTTATCTTATTTTATCTAGCACGTTGGTCATAGACCTGCCTAAAATGAGTGAACGTGACCTTCATACAATTATGTCGATTTTTTACTCAAGCATACCAAACCAACAAACCTTGTACCCAGATGGAACATAACAGGGTGGAACTTACCCATACCCCTTGTAAATAGTTTGATTAGTAAAGAGTAAAATAGAAGGGTTAATAAGATATAAGAACATAATGTTTAATTCCAAATACAATTGCTTTTTATTGATTTAATTAATTTTATAAACTATAAGGAAAATTTATCATTTTAAAATTTATCCAGATAAATTCTCTAATACTATTAAACTATAAGTTTTAGGAGGTTAAACTGTAAGAAATTATTATTTATTTCTTGTTAAATGTTATGGAGTTAAATATTTTAATTGATATGATAATTTATTCACTAATTATTTGTGTAAATACAATTGATATAATATTATTATTAGTAAAAGCTACAATAATACAAAATAGGATATCATATTTTTTTTTCATTTGGCAATAGGTTGATTCTCTTTGAGTTAATAAGTATTAGAAAATTACTTTTTGATTTAATTACCAATTAAAAGACTACAATGGCACAAAAATAAGATATCATTCTTATATTTTATTTCACTTAGCAATGAGATAATTCATGTTGAATTAATATGTATTATAATTCTATTTATAATTTATTACTAATTATTGGAAAACATAATTAATAATACTTTGTAGTGAGAAATAATAATCTAAAATCAGACGAAGAGCACAGTTTAAAACTACATTATTGAACTGGAAATTGGGCTGCTAAGGAAAAACATAACTAGAAATTATGAACTAGAGTGTAAAAAAATAAGAACATAACAATAAATGTAAGGAACATTCGAAAAAATCAAAATTGCTGGTTGTTAACAATAAACTAGAAAGAGAACATATCATATAGAGCAGGCGCGCGGCAGCGGGGGGGGGGGGAGGGGAAGCCGGATTATATTTTTCAAAAATAATTGTTTATATTAATTTATATATGTTAATATTTATTCCTATCTCATATATATATTTAATTATACATTTATTTATTACATTCATCTACCAAGTTATTTAATTAATTACTATTGATTTTAAGTTTTCCCTGACGTAATATTTACCAATTATTTTCAAATTTCTAGTAGCGTAATATTTATCTAAATTTCAAGTCAAATAACAATTATCTCTGAAACACCTTGTCCAGGGAGAAAAAAAATGCAAACTTGTCCAACGAGATCAAGTCTCCGCCATCAAGCAGTAACAGCTATTATGGAATTAGAAGAGCCGATTATTAATTATTTTACTGAAATATCATAATGGCTTGAAAGAAATATTTTCTCAGCAGTAAGAATATTATTGGATTCAATACTTTTTCCAAATTTTTTTTTCTCATTAGAATGTATCATTTAATTATACAACTATTTTATGTAATACTTTTCAAAAACATGACATGACTTAATTAAGAAGATAAGAATAGCGCAGAGCATTTTATTAGAACTCAAGGAAATTAGAGCTAATGTTGATGAAGAATTTTATATTTTATATGTTATTGTTAAGTGAAAAGTAGAGCAATAATATTTAAAGATGTATATATAACCCAAATAAATAAATGGCTTTGAATTCATTATGCAGCACTTACCAATCTGCAGATATTACTTCCGCAAAAGCCTTTCCAACCTTTTTCAGATGGTGATAGAAAAAAAATGAATATTTGTTAGATTTTTATCATGAAGATGTTAAAGTATCTTATGATACATTATTAGCTGAATAACTATGATTAAAAGATAGGTTGATATAGTCCTAAAAAATGTCAAAATTTTTTTTGGCCCGGCCAGTGTGTTTTTTTTAAATAAATTTTTTGGCCCGGCTTGAATTTTTTTAAAATAAATTATATTTGTTTTTTACTTTTATAGCTAATAATGGCGATTTCAAATATTTTGTTTTAAAATATATAGCCCGGCCCGGATATTTTTTTAAAAAAATTTTCATGCCCAGCCCGTGTGTTTTTTTAAAAAATTTTGGCCCGGCCCGAGTATATTTAAAAAAATTAAAATACGGTCCGGCCTGGGGTTCGGGTCTGCAAGTCTCCGAAAAACATACCTAAGAAGTACAACTTCTGAAAGTAGATTGAATGGTTTGAATCATTTGAATATTCATAGGCATTTAACGCCGCAAGGATGAGATAATTGAAAAATTAGCACAATCCCAACCAAGATTGGATTTTACATTGTAAATATATAATCAGAGTTGGGCAGGTCTTCCAGAAAAAGAATCTAGATACTGATTCTTTATAAAAAATTAATCTTAGATACAGATACTAGTATCTTTTTCAAAATATCAAAAAGATACAAGATAAAAGATACTTGTATCTTTTACTAAATTAGAGTTTCTTAAATAGAAGATACTTTTAAATTATAAATACCAATTAAATTGAATAGTTTATAAAATAAGTTTTTATTATTTATTTGTGAAGAACATAGCATACACATATAAGAATGAATATTTGCAATAATTAATAAAATATTTATTAATAAATTATTTATAATAATCATGGATTTTAATATTAGTTTTTGCCCATTAATATCTTAAATAGGGAAGGGAGAGTAATATATTTAATGGGAGTTGAAAATTTGCAAATAAGAAAAATAAAATTAAATCAAATGATTTATTAGAATTTGCAGGTTATTTTCTGTGTTGTTTTAAATATAGCTTATATTCGGAGTATATGGCTAAATGGCATCTCTAATAAAAATATACTAGTTTTATTTTATTCATTTAAGTATTTATCATTACATATTTGTGATTTTTATGTATTATTTAATAGTTTATTTTCTAATATGACTTATTAATTCTTGCGTTTGTAATATCATATATATAAATATCATTAAAATTTCTTTAATTTTTTTCATATATTTCCAAAATCATTAATTATATATAAAAAATATCATAATAATGTACAATTTTATATTATAATTATTAAATACATAATTATTATTAAAAAAATATCAAAAATATACATAAAAAAGAGTTTCGATTTTATTTATAAAAATAAATGATTTTATTAATAATTTTTTTAAAAATTTTATAACATTTTATTTTTGTTAAAGAAGCCATTTTATATCGGATCAAATTTTATAATATTGGCGGATAACCGATTTTTAAAAATAGGTGAAACCGGCCCGATCCGATCAAAAATCGGCATCCATTAATATATTTTATATATAATTATTTTAGCAAGTTCTTATTAGAGGAAATATTTAAGCTACAATTGATATATAAAAATATTAGATAATTTTAAAAGGCTCTTAATAAAATATTTATAATAAGGTAGAATTTAACTTTATTAGTTACTTTTATTTATTTATGATATAAGTAAAATTACATTACAATATTTATTTACAAAATTTAATCAAATTAAAATGCATTAAAGAAAATTATTATGTTTAATAATCAATTAATAAACATTCTGCCATATTGTTATTTTTTTGCGCATTCTGTTTATAAAGGTGTGCGAGATTCGAAGCTGGTGATATTGACAGTTATTGCCGCAAGCTGACCTCTTATAAATTGCAAATATTGGTATTTCTAAAAAGAAACCTTCGTTATATTAATGTTAAATATTATTTTAAATATTTATTTCAAATTTCATAATATAATTGTTTATTACTTATTATGTATTTAATGGTCTATAGTATTAATTCATTGCTTATGACAGCTATCATATTATATCAAATAGTATTTCATCATTTTAAAATAGGATAAATTAAAAATGGGAAGGAAATTTTTTAAAACGCCCTATAAAAATCGCAAAAATAATAGATATAAAAAAAAATCTAATGACCTTACGAAATTATTTAATACTAGACATGATATTCTTGACTTTAACCCATCACACTTTTCCTCAAAACTTGATTTTAAAAATACATCTGATAAAAATATTAGTCTAAATGTAAATAATATCCTACCAATAACTAACTTTAAAAAAAAGTTAATCCTTAAAATACGTCAAAATTTAAGCTTAGTTATAATAGGAGAAACTGCTTGTGGGAAATCAACTCAAATTCCTCAATATATATATGATGCAAAAATTAATTTAGACAAATTAATTGGTTGCACACAACCAAGAAGAGTTGCCACAACTTCAATTGCAACATGGGTTGCACAAATGAAAGAAATATCAGTTGGTATGCTATTATATAATTAATAAATCAAATTTATAAATATATTTAGTAGAACCTTCAAACTTGATTAATTAAATAACTATATTTTGCAAATTATATTATTAAGAATTTACTGCCTTAATTTTATTTATGAAAGTGATTTTTAATTTTCCATCCTTACATAAACTTGTTAAAAATGATTGTACCTACCTAAATGTGAGTTTATAATTAATATTTTATTTACTTTAAATAGGCTACACCCTAGTTTGATTTAATTTATATTTAAAAAAAGCATCCTACACCAGTTTAATTTTTTTTATTGGTAAATGATAACATAAAATGATAATACCCTTTAAAGTATGCTTATATCTATTTTTTAAATCTAAAAATCACTATTCAGAACAGCTTCTTAAAATTTTAAAAGAAGGACAATTATAATATTTTTATTGGCTGTCTAAAATATGTCACATATAAAATTGGAGATTCGCTTTAGAGGTTTGGAAGCCTTTTTGGCAAATTTTTTTTTATTTTTGGACCAAACAACTTGTGCAAAATATTTTATATGACATACAATTCTTGCATTTTTTGGGCCAGGCCAAAGCTTGATCCAATTTTTTTTAAACCTTGTAATGCAAATTTTAAAAAAATTTATAAGCTGACTAATTCTAATTTTTTTAGGCCATGCTAAAAAGTTTGGGCTGGATCAGCTAATATTCTGGCCATAAAATATAAAGCAACAAAACAAATCTATGGCTAGGCAACTTGGGTAATATTTTTTAATATGTCCAAAGCATTTTTTTACCAGTCAATAAATTTTAAAATCTTAAACAATGAAAATTTGTGATTTTACCTAATCAAAAAAATTATTGACCAAAAAAATCTGAGTTGGGAGTGTACAACATGTGTGAAATATCTTTTGTTCTGGGTTGGGTTGACCAGGCTTGATTTAAAAAAAAAATCATCTTAGGCTGGTTTGAGTTTAGCCATGTTGATCCCTATATAAATTTAAATCATTATTTATGATAAATTGCTTATATTTCTTTTTTCTTACTAGCCTGTTAGCTAATATTTATTTTTTTATAATACTACTTCTAAATATGAACTTATTATGATTATAATTTAATTATACATATAATATCAGGGATACTTAACACCCAGTTTGCTAACACCTTTGCAATTTAATATCTACAATAATAGCTGTAGATATCTATTTACATAACCTTTATATGAGTTCATTTATATTTCATAAGATACCAACTCCTTTATTAACACTCAATAAAAGAATGAATAAATAATTTAGTATGATATATTTAGTCTGGATTTAAATAAATGCACCATATATTATATTTGTTACAAAACAAGGTAACCTTGTAGGTTACAGTGTGCGTTTTGAAGATGCAACCTCTGACCAAACCAAGATAAAATATATGACTGATGGTATTTTGTTAAGGGAAGCCCTCAAGGATCCTCTTTTGTCCACCTATTCAGTTATTATCATTGACGAGGTTCATGAAAGGAGTCTTAGGACTGATATACTTCTTAGCATAGTCAAAAGTGCTCAATTTGTGAGGAATTCACCAATGAAAAGTTTTTAAAAATTTGATTTTATATACCTTAAATACAATTAGAGGTTAGTGCAACTTGGCCTGCAAACCATGTTAAGAAATAAGATTTTAGGCCAAACTGGAAAAATTGTTGAAAATATATTTATGGGTTGGGCCAAAATTTTGAAAATGTTTTCAAAGCTGATAATTAGGAAAATTTATTTAGTTTTCCTTCAATAAATTATTACAAAATATATTTTATGGATTGGATGGGGTAATTATGAGCCAGGTTGGGACCCAAATTATCAATCACAGGTAATGTCTTAAATGTTTTTCATTACTCATTTACATAACATTATTATCTGGTATTAATTTAATGCCCTATTGTTTGTGTATTCCTTTGCATCACTTTTACTTTGAAAACTAGGATCTGACATCTTTTCCCATCTTATTAATTTATTAAATGAAACTAAGAGATTACCAATTGCTTCATAAGCTAGGAATTTTATTGCTTTGATCAGAATATCATCTGATCATCTCACTTTTTCATTCTTCATCTTGATCCCTTCCTCATATTTCGTCCTTTTCTATTGTAGTCACCTCCACCACATTATAATCTGATATCCCCAACTGTTTTTTTTTTCACTAAGCAATTTTTCAAAATACTATCATCTCTTGTGAATAGAACCTTCTTATAAACATCTACAGTCTCGGTCATTAATTGTGGTTAATATCGACTCTCAATCTTATAAACCCAATTCAGCCATTCACGCTTTTGTAATTTTTTATATAGTTCACCTTTTGATTTTTTTTAGCATAGCAATCCTTTTAGGTGCATTTATTTTTGCAAATTTGTATTCCTTCATGGTTTGATATCATTTTCATTAATTTTCCTTTCTTTTAAATTGATCTTTCTTTGCCCTCTCTTCAATTCCACCACCAGGTGTCCTTTTCTATTCTATTGAGAGGGAATCATAGGGCTCTTTTACATCTTATTAACGTTTATTTATTTCAAATATTATTACCAAAAATTGCATGGCTCTAAAAAAAACGAGTAGGTAAACTTTATGCCTGATATTTTTTTTAAAAATATATTTTTATTATCATTGCAATAAAATGTTTGAATTTTGTCTTTTTTGCTGAATGCTAAATAAAATATCCGAGAAAAATTATTTTTTTAAAAAAAATCGAATTATTCGTTATCATAAGATGCGAATAATAAATTATTCGATCCAAAATAAGAATATTTCATTATTCGATTTTCAGGGAGACCGAATTAACTTTGATCAAAAATAACTTTATTACAATATAGATCAAAACGAGGCCAATCTATCACTACTGAGAGTCATAGTCATGTCCGCGACTATGGATGTCGACAAATTTTCGAAGTTTTTTAACGATTGCCCTGTCATTTATATCGAAGGCCAAAGGTTACACCCAATAAAACTATACTATCCTTCAAATCACGGTGGTGATAATCATAATAGTAATATCAGGAGAGCAGGAAACCCTTTCAATGAAGGCGATTATGTACGCAATGCACTTGTCACCTTGTTTCAAATTCATGAAGCACAAGGTATTATTTTTATTGGCAATATATTTCTACTCTAAAATAGAAAGAGGATTATGATCGACAAATAAGCGCTTAGCACATTTATTTATTTTTATAAATTTTATTTTAAATAGAATAAATATTTTTTTGAGCAGGATATGAAATAGAGTGTGCTTTGGGGGTAAAATTTTCTGATCGTGGGTAATTTATTTTTATATAAAAAATTGGAAAGGGCGTGAGAATTTGATTTCAAACTGTTTGAGAGGGAATTGTGATTTTTTTTAAAATTCTTGATGTACAATTTTATTTAACATGATTTTTTTCAAATATAAACTTAAATAAAAATTTAATATTTTATGTTATATAATAGCCAAAGTAATAGTTCGATCCGATCTGGAACCGATTTTCAAAGACCAAATCGAACCATAGACCACAATATAAAAACATGGACCATGATCCGGACCAATTTTTATTTGGATTTTGTGTACCTATATAAAACAAAATATCATATGAAACTAAAATTTTTTATTTATTTGTAAATATCTAAATAATAATACAACAGTTACAAAAGGATTACATTTAGATTGTATAATAAAAAATCTGCTTCATTACTTTTAGATAGAAAACATAAGATATTTCATTTTAAGAATCACGTTTAGCCTATTTTCAGGGCAAATCATGATTTTAGCCAAAAAATATTGAATAAGCCTCAGGCAAGTTTAACAACCCTACCAAATGCACATGATAGATTGTATCATCTTACTTGATAATCTTTTTTTCTTTGTTAATAAGCCACCTGCTTTGGAAAATAATTATCCACAACTTACTAGGAACTAAAATTACATTTGATTCAATAAATACAATCATTATATATGTAAGTGTTATACAACAAAGGAGTTAGTTGTCAGATGATCACTTTCATCTCACTAATCCATAGTGATATACATCATATTGATGTTTGACATGTATAACATATAATTTTGTCATAAGATATTATATAAAACTAAATATATAATCTACGAATCTACATTTAAACATTATTTATTGAGATTGGATATTATATAAAGTTATATATATAATGTAAAAATACACAATTACAACCCACCTTCACAGGCCACTTGTTACATTCTCAAAAAAAAAATTATTTCATTTTTAATTTCTAAGATTCGCTTCATTTTTCCATATAATCTCCAAAATTCACTTCATTTTTCATCGGTTTATTTGATACTATCATATCATAATCCTTTTCAAGAGTTCAATTTGTGTGAGAGCTCCTTGTTACCATTACTCCCATATATAAATTTTTAAACAAACTATATTATTCTTATATACTACACACATTTTTTTAGTGTGAAGAAATAAATTAAATGATCATATTATGATATCGTTATCAATTTTTGTCGTATAAATGATATCGTTATTAATTGATGTCGTATAACACATATGAGTGTTCCTCATTGGTCATTTAAATGTTTAACAACGATCATTTAAGTTAATTAAGAAATGTTCCACCACGATCATTTAAGTTAATGAAGATAACTATTTTATATATATCTAATAATAATTTCTCATTTATTATTATTCCCTTTTTTATGTGGTTATTGTGGCGGATTCCCATAATTCCGTCCTCGAACTCTATGCAATCCAATTTCGCACCCACATTTTCTATTATATTACCCTTTTCCCATTTTTTATTCTTATTGTCGAATACACGAGCCCATATAATTTGTCCCACTGGAGATTTCATGTTTATTTTTTTTACTAGGTGATATAATAGCACTGTTTTAAAAAATCCAAGGACACTCTGGTCCTTCGACCCAAAAACAATTCAAAAGGAGTAACACCTTCCCGATTTTTGGAGTTGTTATAATATAACTGAGCCATCCTCAGTTTTTTCTTGTTTGGCCTTTTTAATCCAATTTTTCACTATGGGTACCATTCTTTCAGCCTGACCATTAGAGCTAGGATGATATAGTGGAGCTAGCACATGTTTTATTTGTAATGAAGCATAAAAATGTCTAAATTTCTACTTACAAAAGCCGGACCCCCATCAGATACAATAGTTTTATTTTTGTAATATTTTTATGACAATCTTGGTTGTTAACCCATCAACTTCATATTCAATCCACTTAGAATATGCATCTACCATTGCAATTTCTTTTTTATATAAATCAAAAAAATCAATGTGAACACGTTTCTACAGTTGATTTAACTTTGGTCACACACTGCCCACCTCTTTATGGGTCATAGAAACAGGTATTACATTGAACACATTTATTTATAATTTTTTGATTTCCAAATCATACCAGGCCACCAAACATATTCACGCGCCCACGATTTCATTTTATCTCTGCTTTGATGACCGGCATGTAATAAACATAAAATTTTATCGAACAATTTGCATGCCATTACAGTACGATTTCCACCTTTTATACAATCGTCCACAATTGATAATTCTTTTTGTATTTTTTTATATGAATCATATCTGAATATTTAATTTTAACTGATAAACATATATGTGATATATTTGAATTTAAAAGAAATTTTATCATTGTTGAAACATATGATATGATTATTTATTGTTAAATACTAGAGGTGATGCATTTAAATTTAAAGAAATCTTATCATAAGCATTTGTTTTAAATGATAAGGTGTGATGCAGTTAAATTAATTTTTTTTTCATTAAGATTGGTTTTTAATGATAAGGTGTAAAAAAGTATCATCATTATGATTTTTTATAATAATGAGAGGTGAAATGTTTAAATTTAAAGAAGTTTTATCATTATAATTTGTATTAAAAATAAGGTCTAAAATATGTATATTTAAAGAAGTCTTATCATTTTGATGTGGACATCATTTGATTTTACAATATTATTTAATTAAGTCCCTCATGTCCAACAATATTCCTTCCCCTATCTTATTTTTTTTTTTGAATATTAAATTTTTATTTGAAAGAAAATATTCCCTTAATTATGTAGATTTAATAAAATTGATTTATCTTTAATTTATATATTTTTTCATTGTGATTATGCCAAGATCATTTTTTTTACATTTTCCACTGTCCAATGTTTATGTTAAAAATATTACTGTCCCTTATCTTATTTTTTTTTTGTTAAATTTTTCTATGAAAGAAAATATAACCTTGATTATGTATATGTAATAAAATTGTATTTAGATGTAATCTATATTTTGATTGTTAGTCTTTTATAAAGAAATATATATCATATATGTTTCATTAAACCCCTGATTGAATAATTTGTGAAGTTTCTCTTAACAATTGTAAGTTTATTGGTTTGGATTTTATTTGATGTCAAGTGAAATAGTAAATTAAATATTAGTAGAAAATAAATAAACAAGTATGGAATGAAACTTTTAATGTTTCACAAATTGAATGGTTTATATATGGTTATTTATTGTGGATAATTTTTGTTAAGTCAAACCATTAATGAAATAAAATCAAATCATAATATATAAGAATGGTGTTTAATGTTTCTCATTTTGAATTTATTTAATTTTTCGATATGCATATTCGGTGATGGTATGTTATATAAACATGTGTGGAAGTATTCTGGGAGGCAAGCGGAAAATAATTCCCTAGAAAAAAGATCCTCAATAATAATTCTTCGAAAATAATTCCCCAAAATTGATTTTCTTAAAATTTTTATATTTTATTTGAGGATTTTTATTTCGTGCATATATTTATTTTTTCTCCTATTTATTAATTTTGGAATTATTAATATCTTAAAAAATGGGAATTTTTTACCGGGGAATTATTTTCCTATATTCATTCTATAATGGTATGGTATACATGTGTGAAAGTGTTCATTCCTTTATTTATTATTTTTGTAAAAAAAATAATTAATTAAGATCTTATATTTTTTGGTAAAATAAAAAAAAAATTTTGTTAATTAATTATGTACAGTGATGATCTTCCCTTATTGGACTGTGGTCTATTTGCAGATAAATATAATTCCAAAAAAACCTAAGAGACTCACAAACATATTGGGAATTATAAAGAAAAAGATAATAAATAACAATAATAATAGGAGAATTTCAAAGTATGCCGTCCAAATGCAAACATCTTCCAATTTAAGTGCTTCCGATGTCATTCTTTTAAACATCTAATGGTTGATTGTGATGTACCAACGTATGTCTTAAACCAATAACAGTCGATATACTATCTTCAGAAGGAAGAAATGATGAAGTGGTTCAAAAAACTATAACATGGATCCACAGAATTCGGAGTCAAAAAATACTATTATAAGAAGGTACGGAAACAAACCCTGGCCACAGATAAATTATCAAGGAACTGAATTGAAGAAGGATAATGGAACTAAAACTTACAAATTTAATTTATAAATTTAATTTTGTTTAAAAAGTAAATACCGTGATTTGTGTTTATATAATATGAATTTTTTATCTAACTTATTAACATATATAAATAATGAATTTAAAAACACTGTTTTACCTTACTGGTTTGTATTTAATGTGATCCATATTAACCTAGAATTAATGTTTCCATCGTCATCACGGCACCATTAAAATAATCCAATTTAATTTATTAATTAAAAGAATCCTATATAATTTAATTTGTTTCTTTATATTCAAATATAAAAAATTACAACAATCATATTTAAAATTTATCAAAAACTAAAAAGTGAAAAAAAATTAACATCATCAATAATATTTTTTTATGATTACAACAGGACTAAAGTTGATTGAATTGTTTATATTTTATTTAAAAAGAGAATATAAATTTTTTTATTGGTCCAGACCGAACCTGGAACCGATTTCAAAGAACAAACCAAATCACGGAAAGGATTCATCAAGGTCGATTCGAAAAAACCGACCGTTGACTTCCCCTAATTATATAATAATTTAGTTCATTTATTTAAAGTGAAAATTAAATAGAAGATTAAAAATGTTACTGGGCAGCGCCATTTAGCTCTTAAATTAAAATTTTTTCTAGGATTATTTTTGTTTTTTTCCCCTACAACTTATTTTTTTCTTAATGCGAATATCTTTTTTATTAATACATAAGATATTATTAAATTATGCGCTTCTAAATAATTCTTTATTCTTATAAAAGATTGATATATTTACTCCTCACTCATAATGGGTTTGTAAAGTCAATCACGTTTAAAAAAATATCATTAATAAATAGGGTGTAATTGGCGTGAGTAAAATATAGCATTTCGTAAGTTGATAAAATTAAATTGTGACAGCCTGAATTTTTTTACTTCTATTTTTGAAGTGGGCGAGTTGGGCATGATATACTAAAATGAACATCTAAAATAAGGAAATACATTATAAAACACCAGCCATAAATTAGGGAAATATAAAATTAAGGATATGTAAAAATATTTTTTAAGCACCAGGTGATATACTGATATTCATGCCGGGCAAAGAAGAAATCGAAACTTTTATCCGGCAAGCCAAAAAAATTATCAAAGAAGAGACGGAGAGAAAGGATTGTGTTATACCCTATTCATATCAAGTTCAATTGTCTACTTCGCTAAGGTTTTTTCCTTTTTACGCTGGTTTACCTAAAGAATACCAAAACAAAATATTCGATGCTAATGAAAATGACTATAATGAAAATGTAGCTATTATATCTTCCCGTAATTATAATTCAACTTTTTTTTAGCATATATTAATTATGTAGAGGTATTAAAAACTTTTGGATTTTCATTTAAATTATTCTTTAATTAATCTTAAGAAAAGGGCCAAAAATGTAGAATACCGAGAAGGAAAGTTATTGTTGCAACAAATGTAGCCGAGACATCAATAACAATTCCCGGAATTCGTTTTGTTATCGATACTGGAAAGTTTAAGACCAAAAAATTGATTGATTTATCAACTAAAGATTATAGCGAAGGGATCAACAATCAAGTACATATTATAAAATAAATACATACTAATTTTTAGGGCAAAACAATGTCTATATCACACAATAGCTTTGGATATAACATGTCGGGATTTCCCATCCCCAATATTTTTACTCCTTATACCTCAATGAAGGCAAATTTCTTCTGCCTCGAAATATTTACCACCTGCCTGCACCGATTTAATATCGATATCACCACTTTTTAAATTATTCAGAAACAATATTGTCGAGGGAATTATTATCTTATTAAAAACGAGTAACGAATGATGTTATAACCTTTGTTTAACCCATTAATCACCAATGTTTGATTTTTGGAATACAACTTTAGCGTTAATAATTCGTTTATTCTATAATTTATAAATTAAAAAAAGGTGTGACCTGTAGGGCCATATCTTTTTCTTTCTAATAATGCAAGCAAAAAATTTTTTGAACTTTTTTGTAAAATTTATAAGCTTTTAAAATTTTCAATTTTGATTTTTTTTCGAGCATCAAAAACTTTAACAAAAAATTAGATTAGTTAAAATTTTAATTTCAAAATAATATATATTCTAGTAACTAATTATCTTAACTATAATTCATTAAAATATTAGCCTCAAAAGTATTCATTTCTCAAAGATATAAGGTAAAATATTTTTATGTTCCATTTTTCAAACATTGGTAAATAACAATATATAAATTTCAATTTTTATTAATTTTCTAGATTTTTTATTGCCAGCTTGAAATTCGCTCGTTTAAAAACAGCTTTAGACGCATTATTATAAAATAAGGATGATGATGCATATGAATTATTACATTACTACCAGATAATATAGAGATGTCACAGATGAAGAAGATAACTATCAAGATATATCGTCAGAACAATTAGAAGATGTTGCGGGAGAAGTTGAGATAAATAGTCAGAATATGATAAATAATATACAACCATCTAAGAGCATTGGCGTACGCAGCGGGGGGGGGGTGCGGGGGGGACAGGTGGACAAATCCCCCCCCCCCCCCCAAAGCCAAAGAATGCAGATACCGGATATATTTTTTAAAAATATTATTGTTTATATTAATTTATATTTGTTAATATTTATTCGTATCTCATATTAAATATATATTTAATTACATTTATTATCACATTTATCTACTAAAAGTTATTTTATCAATTAATTTCGATTTCAAGTTTTCCGGCGTAATATTTACTTATTATTTTCAAATTTTTAGTAGCGTAATATTTATTACCATTTTCAAATTTCTAGTCAAATAATAATTATTTCTGAAACTTCTTGTCCAAAAGGGAAAAAGAAATTGCAACCTTCTCCAACGAGATAGAGTCTCTGCCATCAAGCAGTAACAGCTTTTAAGGAGTTAGAAGAGCCAATTATTTGCTATTACTGAAATATCACAATGGCCTGAAAGAAATATTTCCTCAGAAGCAAGAAAATTTTGGATTCAATGCTTATTCCAAATTTTATTTCTCATTAGAATGTATTATTTAATTATACAACTATTTTAAGTATTACTTTTCAAAAACATGACTGACTTGATTAAGAAGATGATAGCAGAGAGCATTTTATAAGAACTCAAGGAAATTAGGGCTAATGTAGATGAAGAATTTCATATTTTATTGTTGAGTCAAAGCAGAGCTATACGTGTTTAACATTTGTCTCCCTCGACTTGTAGCAAGGCAAGCTCATCATTAAAACATTAATATAGGATCAGTAGAAGAGTATATCTTAAATACAGATACATTTATAACCCAAATAAATGAATTTTTAATTCATCTACAGCACTTACTAATCTGCAAATAACTTCCACAAAAGCCTTCCCAACCTTTTTTAGATGGTAATAGAAAAAAAATATTTGTTAGATTTTTATTATCCCACTGTATTAAAAGGGTTTATAAACTCTTTCCATTAGTAAACTAATGAGAGAACATTCTCTTTTTTAAGAAGAATAACAGAGGCCTGCAGAAGTACCATTTGCAGGGCACGGCCCGGCTTTATTTAAAAAAATTTTTAAGCCCGACTCGGCTTTTTTAAAAAAAATTTCAGGCCCGGCCTGGCTTTTTTTAAAATAAAATTTTCAGGCCCGACCCAGATTTTTTTAAAATAAATTATATTTATTTTTGATTTTTATAGCTAATAATAACGATTTCAAATATAGGCTATTTTAAAATATACAGCCCGGATTGGGTGTTTTTTAAAAATAATTTCGGGCCCGGCCCGGGATTTAAAAAAGTTAAAATGGGCCGGGCCTGCAGGTCTCTGAAAAACATACCAAGATGTACAACATCTGAAAGTAGTTTGAAAGGTTTGGATCTTTTAAATATTCATAGGCATTTGACGACAAGCAAGGATGAGATAATTGAAAAATTAGCTCAATCACAACGAAGATTGGATTTTACATTGTAAATGTATAACATACAAAATGCAATTATTCCTAAGAAACTTTTTTGTATAGGCTCAAAAAATTCAAATTTCTATTTTGGGTCATTTAAGTGATTCTTTACAAATAATTTTTTATAATTCACATTAATTTAAAATTCTATATTAGAAATAGTTATTAGTCCTAATAAATTTATGCTGGATATTTTTAAAAAACAATAATATTTATTTAAAAAATTTATTATCCCCCCCCCCCCCCAGACCAAATTCTACGCGCCTGTCTTAGAGAATAAAATTTTCAAATATAAATTGGAAAAAAAATAGCGAAAGCATTATAATATGATTTCAAAAAAACCAATTCAGTTAGAAAATTATTTCTCTGATATAAATGTAAAATCCCCTCTAGAATTATTACTTATGTTTTTTGATAAAGACATGTATTTGTATCATAAATCAAACAAAATTATATGCTAATGAAAAATTAAACCATTCCTTTGACATTCAAGATTTGGATTTGGTCATTTTTATAAGTATTATTATATATACTGGATATCATATTCTTCCCCAAGAAAATTTATATTGGTCTCAAGATGGAGATGTAGGTTCACATTTTATTTCCAAAAAAATATCTAGAAATCGTTTCTAAGAAATAAAAAGATATTTACATCTGGCACAATATCGATTAAGCTGACAAATTAGCGAAAATCAGACTATTTTTAGATATTATTGGTCGAAATTTACAAAAATAAGGGAAATTCGAAGAAAATTTAATGGATGGACAAATGATCCCCTATTATGGGAAATCAAACTATAAAGATGTACATGCGATGGAAGTTAGTAAAATTTGGCGTAAAAGTTTATGTTTTATCTTCATCTTGTGGATATCCTTTTGCTTTTGATATTTATACTTAGGATTACAATAAAACTAGTTCTCTTTATGACAAAGGGTGACCAAATTAACAGCTGTTATTTACAGAGTTCAAGAATATGTACTATTCTTTGATAATTTTTTTACTTCCACAAATTTATGCAGAATGCTAGGAAACAAAGGTTTACGTTGTGCAGGAACCCGCATAAATCGAACCTAAAGATTAGATCATAAACTAATGAAAAAAAGTCCCAGAGGATCTTATGAATTCAGTGATGAAAAGATGCTCTGTGTTATTTGAATGATAGTCGTCCTGTAGCAGTGGTGAGCAATTATCAAGGAATATATTCTCTAAATAAATTTAAGCGATGGAGTTCTAAACATAAGGTTTATATTGATATCAATCAACCAATTATGATTACCTCATATAATCAACATATGGGAGGTGTTGATTTATTGGATAGATTTTTGAGTGATTATCGCCCTCGACTGCCCAGCAAAAGTGGTGGTGGTGGTGTTTATTCTCAAACTTTCTTAATTTATATATTGTAGCCGCTTGGAGAATACATATTACTTCTGATGGGAATATGTCTCACCTTCTATTCGGAAGATTTATTGATCTTTGATTGGAAATACCTAAAGACGATATATGCCTATCAAGTCCCAGATCGGATAGAGATAATCATATGCAATTAAGCCATAGGCGTCACTATCCATATGAAACTGTGCACCAAATAAATGAACTCATTACCTCCCAATGTTTGATTTTTGGAACATTCAAAAAATCATATAATTAATATTTTTCTTTGAAATTTTGATATATAAATATGTTTATACTAATGTATTAATAAAGAAAATTAAATTTTTTATTTTTCTATGTCTTTGATACCTTGGTAATTAACGGGTTAACAATTAATTTTTTTTATTGAACTAAAAGTTAATATATACACATTTAAGGTACACTTAATTAAATTGGAAATAATAAACATTTTCCTTCAAAGCGTACAATACAAAAATTATTATGCAAATTATTATTTTTTAATCCCAAATTATTTATAAGAAATGAGCGTTTTGGTATCATCTTAATTTATATCAACTTTCCTATCATCTTAGTGTTAATTTTAATTGTACGTAAGAGTTGGAAAAGAGAAACCAATATGTGGTAGTGGTGCTGATTTATAACATGAAAATGGGGCTTATACTTGTTGCAAGTGATCGTGGAATTTTGAAGAATCGGATTAAAATTAAATGATCTTAACCCGTTAGTAACCAAGGTATCAAAGCATAAAATTTTTTTTAAAAAATTAAGGATATGAGTTACTAGAATATATATTTTTTTTGAATTAAAATTTTATCTAAATTTTTTTAAAGTTTTTGATGCTCGAAAAAAAAAATCAGGAAATTGAAAATTTTAATAAATTTTACAAAATAAGTTCAAAATTTCTTTTTGTTTGCATTTTTAGAAAGAAAAAGATATGGCTAAACATGCCACACCTTTTTTTTATTTATAAATTAATTATAAAATAAAAATTATTTAACACCAAAGTTGATGTACCAAAAATCAAACATTGGTTATTAATGGGTTAATATAGCATCATGGAAATTTAAAAAAAACAGTTAACCAATTCGAATGGCTCATATACTTTATATGCATATTTATTTTATTGATATTATTTTTTGATATTTCATTCTCTTTAACATTTTTCCAATAATGTTAGATTAACTTATAATATATGGTATTGGTGCGTACATCATTACTTCTTACTAATTTGACTTGAAATCAGAGTTGTTAACGCTCCTTTTTAAAAGTAGCTAGCCCCCGCTCCTACCTTCTCAAAAGGAGCTAGCTCCCGCTCCCACTACTACATTTTTAAAGGGAGCTAGATCCCGCTCCAAGTAATGGAGCGCCACTCCATAACCGCTTCTTTAATTTTCATTTTTTTAGAAGGTACGAGAAACAAAATTATATTTTTTATCAAAAGGTTTTATTTATATTAAATGATCTATCAAAATATTTATAATCTTTTGTTAGCATTTAAAAGTAATAAATTTTCTAAATTAAAATCTAAAAAACATCCATGCTTCTCTCCTATGACCTGTTTTGCAATACTAAATAAGCGCTCCACAGGAGCACTAGAGGGAAGCGGGGTATTGTATTTTATAAAGATATTTTTAATTCAGGTATAAAAAGGGAGGTTGAACAAGTAATGAGAAAATTAAAATGTATCTAAAAAAGCATCATATCTAACAACCCAAGCTCAACTATAATGAATTGCCCAAAAATAATTATAACCATCTAAAAAAAATTATTCCAAAATAAAAAAAATATAGTTATCATTTTGTAAAGAAAGATTTTTTACTTAGATGCTTTTTTAGATTGAAGCTGCTCACTTTTGAAAATGAAATACTTTTACTTAACCACAAAAGACATTTTGCCCTTAAATTTGTTTGATCATTTGTATCAACATCTTTTAGAAGTTTAAAATATATTTTGTATGATGGAAATTCGATTTCTTCTTCTATGATCTCTAAATCCATAATATCTGAAACTATTTTTTATCATATATCTATAAAATTAATATGACTTACAAGATTTTCCAAAAAATTTTCAATATAAAAATGAAAAACTTGATGTTTAATATTTAAATGATTAGATGAAAAACCAATATAAAACTCGGCTCAACATTTATTAATGGATAAATTTAAATAAAATAAAATTTCATTTTTATTGAATTTTAATTAACACACATTAATAATATTTAAAAAATAATTTAATTTATACCTTAAATTTAAAGGAGCAGTGGAGCGGCGCTCCTCTACTCCAGCTCTAAAAGGAGCTAGCTCCCGCTCCCGTTCCTCATTTTTAAAAAGGAGGGGCGCTCCAGGTGTTTTTGGGAGCGCCGCTCCTTAACAACTCTGCTCGAAATAAATAAATTACAAATTTAAAATAATATTTAGTCCAGATTCACTTTCTCATAAACTCTTTAACTATTATGTAATACGAAAAAATGGAATTATGATAAAAAATGTATCATCCCACCAATCATTTTAAAAAAACCAAACGTACTTATTATGTCGCATATTGCATAAACAAGGTTGGAACAATTTACACATCCCATTAAAGTTCGCATGCTTTTTGGTCGATGTTTTTAGTTTAACAAATCGGAAAATAGCATTCTCACGTCATTCGACTATAAATCAAATACCAGCATATCAAATTTTAAAAACTTAGACATCACGATTGACCTACAAGGCTAATGGAAAGCGCATTAAAAGCAGGAACCAAACCAATACAAAACCAATTTCATTCCTCTTTCCCAACCATAATGGCTATATTTTTGTTGCAGATTGCATTTTTATTAAATATCGTCAATCATATATATTTTGTTTTTAAAAAATATATTCATTTTCGACGATTCTTTATTATATTCTTGGATTTGTTGAAATTATTAAAATAAATAAACAAAACTTATAAGAATCAAAAATTGGATTATTATAATTTTTAACCTCCGTCATTATAAATATGAAGGATTATTAACATTGCAGGTATGTTAAATAATTTTGTTAAATATTACACTGTTTACATATCCTCGCTCTAAATAAAATTGCTTCTCTTAAATGGCAAGATTCCCATTTTGTTTCGAAATCGAGGATGAACATATTGGGAATATTGAGCTTTTTCTAGTAAATGGTATCATTATGTTTTAAAGTTTGTCAAAATATTTTTTTAAATAAAATAGATATTTTTCGATAAGAACCCGAAACAATATTGAAAAAGACTTGATAAAATAATCACTTAAAACTAGGGAAATTTTATTGTTTAAAAAAAAAAGAACTAAATTTTCCAGGGAAAAGCAAATCTCGTAAATAGTCTAAAAATGATATATATATTAAAATAATAATTAAATTTTTTAGGGTAAGGTAACTTCCCCTTTTCGCCCATGACAACTATTTATCAAAGCATATTAAAATGTTTGCTAGATACATTTATATAAACGAACGGAGATATAAATATAAAAAATCTATCAATTATATTTTATTCAAATTTTTAAATTTTATATAAAGTTCATTGGGATTCAGGGAAAAAAAACAATTCAACCCTTTAAATCATAACTTTTGGATAACTTTAATTTTCAGAAAAATTTAAATCTATTATTCATATAATATGGATAATCATTTTTCAAAAATCAATACTTAGAACGGGGAAAGTACTTCCACCCACGATACCAGATTCTTGAGGGAATGCTTGACGACCGATTGGATAAGCCAGGACCAAGCCTGGCAAAGGACTGGTAGGGCCGGTAGAGATCCTTATATATCTCAATACTCAACAACAAACGGGTGCAATAGTGGAGATGACAGTTGCAATTGTTACCGATTATATTTCGAAAATAACCCCGTAACATCCAAACGGCAACACCTTATACCAGAATTGACGAGGTGTGATCTTACTTCCATTTTGCCCGCCATTTTGCATATCTCATCTCAGATACACGATTCAAGGTTTGCCGTAAATAGTTTGCAGCTAATAGACGATCCGCCTTTTAAACACATCCTACACGCCCTGGACAAATTATCCGATCTAGGTATCTTGCGATTGAAAACGATCGACAAAGATTGTATCAGTGGGGAATCTAAGTTGAGCCGCGTTTTTTGCAAGGCCTACCAGGAAACGATTGAAAGTGCACTCTCTAATCAACAACAAAATGCAACTCATAGCGCTTTAGCCTTGGCCTGTTCTCCGTCCCTTTTCGTTTTAACGCCCCTGGGCCTACAATGCAATCTTTTACCGTTAGATCCAGTCCTATCTAAAATACTTTTGAAATCCCCTTCGGGGCAATGTTCCGACGAAATAATTAGCCTTGTATCTATTTTAAGCGCAATGACCGAAAGTGGTAACATCGCCATTTCTCGCTCCTCTTTTAATACCTTTGAATCTAATAGTTCACACAAAGCCTCGAGACATTTTAAATTTTCTAACGATTTTCAGAGCGATCATTTAAATTTGCTAAGAACGTACCAGGCTTACAAAAGCAATTGCGGGAACAAAGTATCCATAAATTTTAAATTATTACTTAATGACTGTCGTTTTAAATTAAGGGGAAATAAAATTTTAACTTAATCATTAAACCTATAAGCTTTATAGTGTTTATAAATTGAAGCGTTTGTGTTTTGTAACATTTCAAATAATCCATTTCAAATTGCTAAACGTTTGTATTGCATTAAAATAACGCAAAATTGATTGTTTTTTTAATTTCATATTTCATATATTTATAAAATATACCACTTTAATTTAAACAATGAAGCTTTTTTTTTTAGAAAAAACAATTCTGCTGAATTTATAAGCTATGATAAGCATGATTTAATCAAATTTATTTAGATCGCGATTTAAATCAATTTTCTTTTTTGCTTGTAATTTTAATAATTAATAATTTTTTTATTTAAAAAATTTTTTTTATCTTATGTAATATTTTATTATTAGCTAAATTTTATTAAAAATCATTTATATTCTTAATTAATCCTGAAATAATGTTATATACTGAATTAATCCTGAAATAGTTTTTTAAAAAATTATTTAAATTATTATTTTAACTTAAGGAAAAGTCTCTCTAATTATTTTAATTTTCTCTTATTGAAATAAATATCATTATTCAGTTTTTTGATACCAAGAAAATTAGTTTATGCAGTTTATATAAAAATATTAATTTTTGTTTTGGTTTATAAAAATATTACTTAAAATGGAAATATTTGCACCTTGTTTCTTGCATTTTGATGTATTTTACAAAATTGATTATATTATATTTCAAAATTTAAGCCTATCCAAATATTTTTTTAGACATAGGTCCGGCCCGAAGCCCGTTCACGCTCGGTACGGACCGGGCCTACTTTTGCAGCTAACACTAATAGTTTTAATGAAAATATTGATCAACCTCAATTATTCCAACAGATAATAATTCTATTATCAGTGCAATCAATAGATCTTTTTTTTAAATGTATATTTATCAGAGACCTGCAGAGGTACCATTTGCACGGCTCGGCTGGATTAAAAAAAATTTTTTTTCGCCCGGTCCACATTTCATATTTTTAGGCCCGGCATGGATTTTTTATTTAAATAAAATTTTCGGCCCGGCCCGAGTTTTTTAAAAATAGATTATATTTATTTCTAAATTTTATGGCTAAGTTTTTAAGGGTATTTATTTTTTTAAAAAATAAATTTGGTTAAATTATATGTATTAGTAAGGCAGACTTAAATAATAATAAAAAACCAATCTTGACCAGGAAAAGAAAATAAAGACCGGTCCAGACCGCGATTTTGAAATTTAAGATAGACCCGATCACTAGTTTTCGCAAAAAATACATTATTTAGATTACTATTAACTAAAAAAAATTTTCTTTATAAAGAAATGGTGTTTGATCAATAAATTGAATCGAAAAGTATTGTTATTAGCTTTCAAAATTGACAAACAACTTAGACGTATAGCCAAGGGGTTGAATATGCCAATTATATCATGTGGACAAGATACTTGGAAAATTAGAAAAACACTGTTAGAAGGTATACATTAACCCTCATTTTTTTTAGAGTTAAAGCTTAAGTACCCAGGTGTCCCAATTTAAAATATTATTGTAAATTGAGTATAGAGCACCCTAATGCTCATTGGCTGGTGGAATATTTCTTAAAAATATTCTCGATTGCAGCGCGTCTATTTCGGTGAGGCTGTATTATTGCGTTGGATATGGGCTTACCGACGTTAATTTAAAAATTAATAAATATATAGTATATTATAAATAATCTTATCTTAAAAATATCTTAGGTTTATTCAACGATTGCGCTTTTTTGCACAAAGGAACTCACAAATATGAACTTCTAAGCCTTCACGACAACTCTTGGACACAAAAATTGACCCTTTTAAATCAAAATATAGTTCTCCCTGCTTGTTCGAATAACTCAAATCCGATTCTTTATATACATCCAACCTCTGCTCTCTTTATTTCCAAACCTAGATTAATAGTTTTTTCGGATTTGTTAGTGACTAATAAACCTTACATGAAGATAATCAGCGCTATAGAACCCGAATGGTTAAAAGAAATTTCTGAAAAATCATAATACTTATAATAAGGACCAAAAATATTAAATTTACTGATTATTTATATTTTAAATATATATATCCTAATTTGGAAATGACTTTTAATATAATTAAATTATTAAACAATATTATTTGTTATAATTAATATCAATCAATAAAATTTTTGTATATAAATAAATTATAGGAGTTGATTATAGCAAAAAATATTTTTAGGATTACAATCATTTATAATAAATTTAGAAGTAATTAAAATTTACGTGCAAAATATAGTAAGTATATATAAAATATTCAAAGATTTCATCAATTTATAACTCATAAGTTGGAATTAATGGTTGCTCTATTAACTTTTTGGTTAACTTATTTTTGACCCCATTTTATTCTACGCTGCTAGTCTAATTTAACAACGTTAAGTTTATATTTAATTTTGGTCGAAGTTGGCCATTAATTAAGGAAAAATTTTGAAAAAAAAATCATAGCAAATTTATATAATATAAGAATTAAAAAAATTAGATAAAGTTTTTAAAATATTCCATTGTATTACTAAAAAAATTTGACCAAAATATATTTTTTATAATAAAATAATTTTCACAATTTATTTCAATTGCATTCATGGTAATATAATTTTGGCGATAGTGCATTCTTCGAAAGCTTTTGCGGTAAAGCATTTTCGAAAATATCATGCGGTAATGACTTAATATGGACAGTTCATAAATTAGACTAGCTATTTGAATTTATATAATCATCCGCCTCTTTTATTTTGATAGTCAATAATTTTACAAATTAAAGCATCTAGACAGTGTTCATAAGTTAAAGATGTCAAGTTCCATTTATAGATGTTTTTTGTAATGAATCATGTTGATAATTCATATTGCTAATTATTTTGTTATATCCATCTAAATGTCCTAATAAAACAAATTATATTTACAACACAATACGATTTTTTTTAATATATAGATATAGAAAAACGAAATTGAAACGTTCAAAAAGATTTGTCTGAATAATTCATACTAAAGTTTTGCAATGGGCAACCCAAATACCCGCCCAACTAATATTTAAAGAAATTAACTCCTTCCCCCGCCCATGCATTTTTTAAAATTTACCGACCCACCTAATTCATCTAAAAAATTTGTTTAATCCTCCTGCCACAATTTTTTAAAATTGTTTGCTCTTATTTATTTTATTTCAATATATTTTTACTTAAACTTTTAAAATATCCAATATTATGAAATAAAAAAAATAATTTTTAATAAATATAATCTCGTTCTGTTCATTTCACCCTAAAAATTTTAATTCGTCATCCCGCTCGTTCTTTGTTTTAAAAATAATTTTAACAAGTCCAACCTATCCTCCCAATGTTAAAATCTTTTATCAATTGCAGACTTTTTAACTTACCCGAGAATAGATAAAATTGTACGGAAAAAAATTCCTATAATCAGTAACTCTTATTGAGTTTAACCCTTTAGGTTCCCTCATAAAATTAATATGTTGCAACACGATATTTAGTAATTTTTTTATTGATTCTAGTATAATATAATATAAAACACACAAAAAAAGTTTTTTAAATTCAAAATGGCGGCTCTCCCTGGTGGTTTCAAATTCATATCATTGACACCTTATGGAAACTTTCGAAACAGTCTCTATTTTTATTTAGACATAGTGGTACGTTGCATGATTTGCACGACCACCTTGTTCTTCTGGGATTTAACTTTGTACTACAGAAGGTACACCTTCGTGAGGTTCCTGCCTGAGGTTGATGAGCTGAGTTTTTTAGTCTAATTTCTGGAAGGATATAAGCTTTATTATTTTTTCTTTGCATTGATATATAATTATTATCATTATGAATATTATCATCCCTATTAACATTTTTACAGTATGCCAATTCGCTAGCAATTATTTGTCTTCGGAATTCTTTCGATGAGAGTTTATTATCTGTAAGAATATTGTATATTATGAATGAATTGATAATCGCCGCATCTATCAGCCAAAAAAATATTGGTAGTCACCATTTTCGCCACTTTCGCGAAATTTCATATAAAGACTTGAAATGGTCAACAGACCCCATATATTTATTATACATCTTTATCATTATTGGACATTTTACGTCAAATACTTCCCCTTTTTTATTTTTTCTCTTCACAGTATCCACTGATCTCGGATCAATATAATTGGGCATTATAAATACGTCACGATTATCTCGCCATTTAATTATACTTATATTATTTTTGTCACTTCTCCAGTCAAACTCACTTCTTTTTAATTTTGTTTCCATATTCTTTATGGGCAAGTATCTCCTATTTTTGTTTAGTGTTCCGGTAGCATATATACCTTTCTTTTTTAAATCGATCAATTTCAATTTGATAAGGTGTATCCGATTCATAATCATCACTATCAATTTGGTAACGTGTATCCGATTCATAATCATCTTCGGAATCAGTGGATGAGTTGTCTAACGAAGAACCTTCAGATGGAATGTCCAGATAATCATCCATATATATAACAAGCTAAAATTATTGCGAAATGAGTTGGCAAAATTTATCAATTATTTAAAAAAATAAATATTAAAAATATTGTTGTTAAGTGGCAGTGGTTAGTTTAATATACCACATTAAAGAGATCAAAATAATATATAAATATTATTTATTTGAGCAAAAATAAATATTAGAAAGATAGATAAAATAGTGAGGAATATATACATTTAAAAATATTTGATAAATATACTTACTTATAATTAAAATTGGAATTTTAAGAAAAATCACCGTAAAAAACGTATTTTGAAATAAAGGCGCGAAAAAAAAAATTAAAAAATAACTCCTCCACAAACATATGAAAAAGAATATCTTTTAATATATATTCGTGGTGGTTTCATTTTATATGATTAACTCCTTTAGAAGATATAAAGGTTAAAAGGTGGTTTTATATTTGCACTACCGCGACCGAAAGGGTTAAAAAGGTTGGGTTCTTCAAAATATAATTGATTTTGATTATTTCTAAACAAGATATGCTTAAATATAATATTTAATTCCTGTGCATTTGAAAACAAATTCATTTATGACGACGATGATGATCATTATAGTTTCAATATTCAATTTTGATGTAAATGATTTATATTAATACGTTATATTATGGATTATATCTATGCTATGATACAAGGTGTATTTTATTGGTAGCACATGTGCTATTATCTATCAACCTGCTACCTAAGATGTTATTCAGGAGTTATCTTATTCCTGCTCAAATTCTAAGAAAAAATATAAATTAATTCTTCAAAAAATGCTTTAAATCTAAAGCTTTCATAAGATTGCCATAGATGATATTCAATACAGGATACGCAATAGGTAATACTCTAGTTATTTTATAAGAACTTAATCTCTTTCAACCAGATATTTTGATTCACAAAATTGGGAATAAATCAAGGCCTTTCTGGCCATCTAAAATTATTAAAGGTGGCTAGGAAAAGTAAAATTTCAATAATTAACTTTTTCCCAGTTATTAACAATGCTTATGGTCAAATTGTTTTTAGTGAAAATTTAGGGATAACATTTTGTAAGAAAAAATATAAATTTATAAGACATGTTTCTTTTTGTTGCTTATTTTCAGAATTATTAACTTATTGAGTTTCAAATTGAAATTTTAAACTTCTTTTCGTAACTTATTTTTAGTCTTCTAAGCTTTTGTTGAGCATCATCAGATTTGATTATATTCTAACATGAAAGGCGGAAGTTGGGTTTGTTGCGTTTAAACTCCCTAACTCAAGATTCGAATATTGCGGGTTAAAAGTCATTTTTTTAAAGCATAATTACGTTTCAAAAATTAAAATATAATAGATAGCGCATATAGTATAGGACACAGAACTTTGATATTGTTATTTAAGTCGAATATAAAAGAACATTAACATATTTTATTTAGTTAGATCTCATTTTCTATTTAAAACTTGTGAGTATAACAATTAGAGGTGGGCACAGGCCTAATTTTTATTCCCAATCTGCCCGCTCACGCTGACAAAAATAAAATTCCAACTTTTCACGCCAGATACTAAAAATTTTTTAACCCGACCAGCTACTCACGAAATACAATATTTTGATCACGTTCGACAAATTACCGATATTTTAAATTTCTTTCTGAATTTCTCGAAGCTTTATTGCTATTATTTTTACGTTTTATGAATTTATTCTATCTTCCCTTTCAGTTTTTCATCTTTAAATTTAAAATTATTCCTCCTTTTTTATTTAATAATTCTATATAAATAGCAAAAAAAATTATTATTTAAATCAATATTTTTATTAGAAGAATTTTATTTTAATTCTGTTAGTCTCTCCTCTAATAAGCGATTGGCTATAGAAAATAACCTTTCACTGGTAGCCGCTTGCTAGGGACAATAAAAATTTACTGGCCAATTTTCTTAAAAAGGGAAAGGAATTTTCTTGCTTCCAAAACGTCAAATTCCTTAATTGTTATTTGTTTTATGTCTTATGAATATTTTTAGTTCATCCTCACAACTTTCATTAGTTAGATAATCTAATTTTAAAACATTTCGCATTTATAATGTTGTAAATATGTCTGCCTTTTTTGCGCCGTTTAAAAACTTAATACTTTAAAATTTAGATCTAGAATTAAGCCTAACTTAAGTGCTGGCTACATGATTAACCCTTCAATTTCTATTGCATTTAGAGGTTGAAGATATTTAGAAATAAAATAAATGACTGTACCCATCTTACATTTTTATGAGATAATATTTTAACAATTTGCTTAAACAGATGGGACTATGCACACCCCAGTGATTTTAAAAACGTTACTATTTAAAATTCTTCCGATATTTTTGCCTAAATTTTTTAGTAGCTTAACATTTTTAGGTAAAGCATATGTGTGAAAAATTAATTTAGTTTTGTTCAGTAGTTCATGAGTTATAAGGGTTTTTGGAGCTTGATGTCTGCATAGACCCCACCTCATCCGTGTAATATATCATTGTGACATTTTAAAATAATTTGTCACTTTTTTGAGTCCCTTGACAAAAGCTGTCATAAGATGATAAAATAACAGAAATTATTAAATTAATAGTTCAGTTAAAATTATTGAAGT